CCCTCCCTCCCCCGTCCCTCCCTCTCTTACTCCATTATCCTTTCTCTCTGCAGTGCGGAGGCTGGAAGCCAGGGTTCTGAGCTTGCTGGGAAAGCACTCTTCAGTGCTTCAGCCCCAGTCCCTGATTGCCCTCCTGTTTCAGACATGTCAGGCTCAGATTGACCCTGTCCTGTTTCAGACATGTCAGGCTCAGATTGACCCTGTCCTGTTTCAGACATGTCAGGCTCAGATTGACCCTGTCCTGTTTCAGACATGTCAGGCTCAGATTGACCCTGTCCTGTTTCAGACATGTCAGGCTCAGATTGACCCTGTCCTGTTTCAGACATGTCAGGCTCAGATTGACCCTGTCCTGTTTCAGACATGTCAGGCTCAGATTGACCCTGTCCTGTTTCAGACATGTCAGGCTCAGATTGACCCTGTCCTGTTTCAGACATGTCAGGCTCAGATTGACCCTGTCCTGTTTCAGACATGTCAGGCTCAGATTGACCCTGTCCTGTTTCAGACATGTCAGGCTCAGATTGACCCTGTCCTGTTTCAGACATGTCAGGCTCAGATTGACCCTGTCCTGTTTCAGACATGTCAGGCTCAGATTGACCCTGTCCTGTTTCAGACATGTCAGGCTCAGATTGACCCTGTCCTGTTTCAGACATGTCAGGCTCAGATTGACCCTGTCCTGTTTCAGACATGTCAGGCTCAGATTGACCCTGTCCTGTTTCAGACATGTCAGGCTCAGATTGACCCTGTCCTGTTTCAGACATGTCAGGCTCAGATTGACCCTGTCCTGTTTCAGACATGTCAGGCTCAGATTGACCCTGTCCTGTTTCAGACATGTCAGGCTCAGATTGACCCTGTCCTGTTTCAGACATGTCAGGCTCAGATTGACCCTGTCCTGTTTCAGACATGTCAGGCTCAGATTGACCCTGTCCTGTTTCAGACATGTCAGGCTCAGATTGACCCTGTCCTGTTTCAGACATGTCAGGCTCAGATTGACCCTGTCCTGTTTCAGACATGTCAGGCTCAGATTGACCCTGTCCTGTTTCAGACATGTCAGGCTCAGATTGACCCTGTCCTGTTTCAGACATGTCAGGCTCAGATTGACCCTGTCCTGTTTCAGACATGTCAGGCTCAGATTGACCCTGTCCTGTTTCAGACATGTCAGGCTCAGATTGACCCTGTCCTGTTTCAGACATGTCAGGCTCAGATTGACCCTGTCCTGTTTCAGACATGTCAGGCTCAGATTGACCCTGTCCTGTTTCAGACATGTCAGGCTCAGATTGACCCTGTCCTGTTTCAGACATGTCAGGCTCAGATTGACCCTGTCCTGTTTCAGACATGTCAGGCTCAGATTGACCCTGTCCTGTTTCAGACATGTCAGGCTCAGATTGACCCTGTCCTGTTTCAGACATGTCAGGCTCAGATTGACCCTGTCCTGTTTCAGACATGTCAGGCTCAGATTGACCCTGTCCTGTTTCAGACATGTCAGGCTCAGATTGACCCTGTCCTGTTTCAGACATGTCAGGCTCAGATTGACCCTGTCCTGTTTCAGACATGTCAGGCCGTGACTGCACCTCACTAGGACTCACAGCAGCCTCTTCACTTTCCCGGGACTAAAAATCAAAGGCTGGGCCTGGAACAGCAGCTGCATACCTGGTGGTCCTTGGGCTCCTTGATCACCTTTTTCTCCTTTCAAACCTGGAAAACCCCAGGATCCTTTCTCTCCTTTCAAACCTGCCATCAACACACACACACATTTAAGAAAAAGGAAAAGAAAGACAGTAGAAAATCAAATTTTCAAACTGAGCCTCTTTAGTAAAGTCTACTCAGACCAGCAAGGCCTGCTGAGAAGCTGACAAGAAATCTTTCACTAAAAAGGTGGGGAGAGCTAACGTAGCTGCATCAGATACATTGTCCCATGTTGAAAAGCTCAGTGTGTCTGGGAAGACAGATCCAGTTCACACTAACACAGGGCTGTCACAGAGAGGGGAGGAGAATAGGTGGACCGGAGAAGGGGCTGGCTCCCTTGAAACGTTTGCAGATGGCCCTCCAGTTTCATCTCCCTTCGGCCTCCATAGCCCAGTATCATGGGGCAGAGAAATCTACCAGGGTGGTGACACGGGCACTAAGGGTACCAAGTCATCTGTTTCACAGATGAAAGAACGTGGGCTGTGTGTTACACATCACCCTCAGTGACAGGATGCATGGCTTCTGAGGTGCTGGCCTCCCACAACCACTATCTCCTTATAGCAGAGAGGCATGGCAGGGAGGCTTGTAGGAGAATAGCATTTGGGAAGGGAACTCATCTCCTTCCTTCTTCTCAATGGGGGTAAGAGTGGCCATGAGACTTCCCGATTCCTGACCCCCAAGAATGCAGCAATCAAACCTTCCAGTGCTCTCTAACATAGAGATGGAGTCATGAGGTTTGTGGGCTTGGACTTCCTCAATGTAGGGGAAGGGCCATGAGTAGCAGAGACAAGATGATGCCCATTAGGAATCAGCAGGGAGGTGTGAATGCATGTTCCCAGGCCCCATCGATGATGGAGAGCTGCTGAGACTAAGGGCATAGGCAAAGATTGTGGGTTGCCACTGAGGCCACAGTCAGTGGTGATGAATAAGAAGACAGTAAGAGGGTCACCAGAGGTGGGGCTGCTTCCTCAAGAGGTAAAGTAACACCCAGGAGTACTTGATGAAGTATGACCTCTCACGAGGGGGATCACATCCAGGAATCTCTGTTCCCTCTCCTCCTCCCAGGGGAGCCTCACAGGACAGGAAACAAGTGGGGATCTAAAAAAGCAAACCCAGCTCCCCTTCCACTCCAAGGTCCACTTGGCACCAAGGAGAAACAGAGCCATGAGTAAGGTCTGAGCCCTGAGTTAGAACACAACCTGGATTTGGCAACCAAAAGGAGACAGAAAAAGCACTGGGTCAGACATCACCAGGGATCCACCCCCATCCCACATCCAGCAGGCCAGGGTGACAGGGCCAAGCTGCAGGTGAGTATTTTGGGATAAAGAAAGATTTTCCCCTTGTTTGAGTTGAGAGTGTTTGGGTTCTTCAATCTGAGAAGGACATGGTATGACAGAGTGTGAAGGTCGAGGGGGTCCAGAGCCACTGCTCCCTGGCAGGCCCTGCCTCCTGTCTGCCCTTCTTTGATGTGCCCTAGAGAGGCTTCCATGTGTAGACAGGACCATGCTGACATTTACTAATCAAACCCTCCGCCCGCCCCCCCGCCCCCGACACACACAAGTCACCAGTCCTCACACATCCCACCTGGAGGCTAAGGGAATGTAGGCTATGATCAGATGGTGTAGGCCAGGTCCTGACCTTGAATATGTGATCCTCTTGCCTCAGCCTCCTGAGTGCTGGGATTACAGGTATGTATCACCATGCCTTGTCCCAGTGATGGAGATCAAATGCAAGGCCTTACACATATTAAGTGCTCTGCCATCCTAGGGTTCTGCATTTTAACACACTCGCAGGCACTGGTGCTGGTGGTGGTCTATGCACACACTAAGGTAAAGGTCTTCTGAGCCCTCACAGCTCTTCCTTGGATTAGCTCTTGGTATACGATGCTATAAGTTGTGTATGAGTGTATATATGTGAGTGTGCAAGTGAATGTGTGTGTGCAGGCATGTGTAGAACCAGAGGACAACTTCAGCTGTCATTCCCCTGGTGCTGTCTGTTCACCCTCTACTTTTTTTTTTTAAGACAAGGACTCTCACTGGCCTAGAAATTCAGCAAGTCAGCCTCAGGGATCCATCTGTCTCCATGTGTTTCTGCTTCCCCAGTTCTGGGATTACAACATATACCACCATGCCCAATATTTCTTTTAAATGTGGCTTCTGGAGATTGAACTCAGAACCTCGTGCTTGCCTTCACCAACTTAGCCATATCTCCAGTCCTATCATTAATTTTAGTAGTTACCATCACCTAAATGATTTTAAGGGCCAGGGAGGCAAGAATCACATAGGATAATCCCAAGCAAGGAGCTGGCAATGGTGACTGTCTTGAACCTATTAGCAAAGGGATGAACAAATGGCATGCTTCCTGCTACCTCAGGGGCTCAGCCAGGTCATGCAGAACAGACAGGTCCATGACAAGGCCAAATAGAGGTGTATCCCCACAGCCTTGGTTCAGCTGCTCCCCCTCCCCTGTACCCAATCAGCCCTTCATGACTACTTCATCTGTGTCCAGAACTGGACACATGGAAATCATCTCCTCCAGAGGCATTAAGTCAGGAAAGTCCCAGAGAAACACAGTGAAGAAAGGAGTGTGTACCATGGAAGGTGACAAGCTCTGGGTCCCCAGGATGAGCAGTACCAACCTGGAAGAGAGAAACACAGGTCAGACACAGAGAGCCCTGCCCTGGCATTTGTCCAGGCAGCCACGGTCCTGGGAACATGTCATAGAAGAGGAAATGTCACAGGGTCTGACCTGTGTTTGGTTCTGGAGCTCCTGTTCTCCCCAGTAGCCCTTAACACACATCCCAGACCTTCAGTTGGGAAGCTCATCATGTAGTTGGCCTTGAAGAGATAGAACTGAGACTTCTGGCCAAAAATCTCAGCAAAAGGGAAGCCCAAGGCTTTCAGACATTTTGTGAGAGGGCTGGCTTGGCCAACACTGAACATTCTTGGCCTCCCTTCTTACCAATTAGGATTGACTCATGCCTGAGGCCAAGCATCCCAGGCAATCGTGAGCCAGCTCTGAAGCTGGGCCAGTCATCAGCTTTGCTTCTGTGTATAATCAAAGAGAAGCATAAGGTAAAGGCCCTGATGGTAATTAATAACAGGACTGTCATTAGATTGGCGGGACTATTCTGGACTCCTCATTAAGTGGCAGGGGTCTGGAATCCAAGCTATTCTAGAAAATATTCTTCTCAGTTCTTGCCCATATCCCTGTCATCATGCCTATTTCTGGTTTTTTGATTTTTAACATGGGTTCTTGGGCCTGGTTACATGAATTTTAGGGATCAACCTCAGTTCCTCATGCTTATAAAGCAAGTACTTCACCAATCAAGTTATCTCCCCAGACCCCCTTATCTATTAATGCGGAACCACCTGTAAACTATTGTTTAACACTGTGTGTCTTAGTTTCATTTCCTGATGCTGAGATGAAATACCCTGAAAAAAAGCAACTTAAGGGAGAAAGGGTTTATTTGGCTCACAATCCCAAGTTACAGTGCATCACTGCTGGGAAGTCAAGGTGGCTGGAACTTTAAGCAGCTGTTACATTACAGTCACAGTCAGGAGCAGAGAGCAGGGCTAGAGATAAGAGTGTGTACTGCTCTTGCAAAGGACCCAAGTTCGATTTCTAGCACCTATATCAGACAACTCACAACTGTCTATAGCTCCAGTTCTAGGGGATCCAGCACCCTTCTGACCATTGCAAGCATGTGCACAGATGCCTACACATAAATAAACAAACAGCTAATGGCAGAGAGCAATGAATTAAGGCATGCAAGCTAGTGCTCAGCTCACTTTCTCCATCATAAAGTGACACCTAGGGATTGGTGCCACTCACAGTGGGCAGGTCTCCCCACCTCAATTAATGCAATCATGATATTCTCCCCTAGACATGCTTACAGGCCAACCTGATCTAGACAATCCCTCATTGAGACTCTCTTCCCAGGTGATCCTAGATTGTGTTAAATTGGCAATTGAAACCAACCATTGTCCTTCACCGTCATCTTTTCCCCAGCTCAATCACAGTGATCCATCCAGCACTAGGGTCTTTCTATCCTTATGGGGATTGCAAGCTGCTCAAGAGTCATCACAAAAGAACTGAAGAAAGGAATAAGGAGTCTTCCAGAAAAAAAAACAAACCCACATTTTTAAGTTAAGGATGAATGCTGTAAGAGGATGTGATTCTGTTTGAAAGTTTCCACTTAAAAAGCTGGGTAGGAAACATCCATGCCCCAGCGCCCATGGTATCCCATCAAGCTATAGGAAATTAAAAGTCACTCTGAATACTCTGAGCCCAGAATTTGCTTCTTTTAAAGTAACCTATGATATCCATGATGTCCAAAGACCATGGATACTACCCAGGGGCCCAGCACAGGCCACGTAACTGCAGTACATTTCCCCAGCACTCTAAAGTTTGTCATGGGCTATCCCACACTTGGTTCATTTGGATTGCCTGTGGGAGGTGGTAACAGGCTAGGCTCTAGGTTGAGAGGGGCCTTCAGCACTCACACATAGTGGGACCCCCCAGACAGCCCACTGCCCCTGAGGCTGTGGTCTCTCTTGCATGGAGAAGGTGGATACAGTGCTTTCTTGAAGGTCTCCATCACCCACACTGGCTGCCTCTCTCTAGGCCATCTGTGTAAACATGCCCTGGGTGGTGCTGTCGGCTTCACCTGGTGCTTCAACACCTTAGCAGATGGATCCTGTCCTTTGCCTTCCAGGACAGAGCACCTGGACTCTGGATTGCACACTTGGATGCCTCAAAGGTCAGGTCAGATTTGGACATATGTCTGGGGTAGCACACAGCCAGCAACCTGAGTCACTTAGAAGCCTTGAGGCCCAGCCTCATTGCCATTCCTACAGGCATCAATTCAAGCCATTTCAAAGCATATTCTAAAATGATCATTTGCAAACTCCAGAGAGCAGAGACCATGTCTGTCTAGGTCATTCCTGTGTCCCCAGGCCCTAGCAAAGTCCTTGGCACTTGTAAGTGCTCAGTAAATATTTATTGAATGAATGAGAGAATGATTACACACAGTTCTATGACTCATGCCTGTCCCTGGGTTTCCCCACGGAAATAAGTGTCTCTTGACAGTACAGGCCAAATCCTAGAGACAGTGCTGCCAAATGCCTGGGGAGGGATCTGAGCTGTGATCCCAGATGTCCTGTGCTCTGTGACCTTGGGCTAGGTTGGAAGCTTCTGTGAGTTTGCCGCCCCATGATAAAGGGGAGAGATAATGCTTGCCTCTTGGAGTGGCGTGATGTACAGAAACATAGTCATCAGGAAGGACAGAGTGGTTACAGATTTTAGTCCCAAGTTTCCAGTGCAGAGGCCACGGTTTAGCATTGCTTCTTTCTGTTTCTAAAGGGTCTATTTTGCAATTTTATGCTCCACCACACATAAGGTGGTCTCAGTAGAACACTTGGTTGCATTGATCATAGTAAAAGAAGTCAATGTAAGGATCTTAGATGGTAGATATTTCATTGCTAGGGTCTATTATCTAGAAACTTCTAGACTCTTCAGGATCTATTTGTAGGTCATAGAAAATACTAGAGTAAACATCCAGAGATGGAAGGGGACCAAGGCAAGACTGATTGTTTTCTCTGAGTTGCCACTTCTGCTTAGCTTGCTATTGAAGGCTTGACTGTGTGTTACTTACTGGTGTTTTGCAGTGTGGCCGGGCAGGTACTGGGAAAACAGCCTGTGGGGAAGAGAACAAGAGAGGTGAGGCCATCAGGAAGCCCAGCTCCAGCTGAGGTGAGGCCAATCTGGTGCCCACTGCATGGTTCCCAGAAAAGCCTCCTGCAGCAGCTCCATCCTAACTTACACCTTTGATGTTAACCACAGCTCCAGGGGGTCCAGGAGGTCCTGGGGGGCCAGGTAGGCCAGGTGAACCCTGAAGGGAGAAAAGAAAAGCCAGCACTGAGTTTGGGGAGCTGGGAATGAGAGGTAGTTTTGGGATATTCCCCACACTCTGAGCTGGCAGCAAGGAAAGGAGGATCCGCTGATGCCAACCAAGGTCTCCTGCAATTAGGCCAGTCCCATCCACGGAGCATTTCTACATGGGGACTGCACTGCATCTTCACAATAAACCATGAAGAAAACAGCAGAGCAACTGTACCCTCCTGACTGACATACACAAATAATGAGACCCAGAGGGTGCAAGCAGTCTGCTCAAGGTTACACAGCAGCTTACAGCAAACTGAGATTGAAACCTAGATTCTGGTTCCCAGAGCTCAGTGAATATCTGCATTCCTGGGCCTGCGTGCAGGAGGAAAGAGAGGACATTAGGACCCTAGGATGCTCAGATTCATTTCTCCTTTCTTCCTCCTTTCTTCCAGTGTCGGGGGTGGATGTGTGGGAGACTGACACCTCAGTGCAGAGCTGCTCTAGGTGGCAGGGACTCTCCTGACAGGAGATGGAGGCAGGATTAGGTGCAAGGATCTTTCAAAATGGTGATGGAGGAAGAAGAAAATACTCCTGAACATGTACTCTGCAAGGCAATCTCACTGGACCTCACAGGAGTAGACCCTCTCTCACTAGCTCAGGACCCCAGTCCTAGACTCCATCCCCAGCAGTGGCGGCTGTGGTACTCACTGGCATCATGATTCCTCGATCTCCTTTGGCACCCTTGAGGCCATTCAATCCTGGACGACCCTGAAACACACATAAGACACTTTTGTGAGCTTCATGCTGTGGGGCAGCCTGGCCACATGGCTCCCTTCCTTCAGTCTGGGAAGCATGGATACCTACAGGTCGTCCGGGAAGGCCAAATTCTCCTTTGTGACCTGGTGGTCCTTTGGGGCCCTAGAAGCAAATCAAACACCAGATTAACAAACAACTGAAATGCAAAGTCCTGAGATATGGGGGTGTCCAGGCTCTAGTGGACAGTGGTGCTGATGGAGCAGGGATGGAGGACAGCAGGAATATAATTTCAAACTACCTACCTGTCCGACTCCCAGTCTCCTGCTTCTCCTTAGCTAGAAATGTGCCCTCAGCCCCTCAGCTCACCCTACTTTTCTGTAGTTTCCCCAGATTCACATCCAGGACCCAATTCTTCACAGCCAAGGAGGAACATGAAGTCAGTAGCTCAGAACCTCAGGTCTCTGATAGCCATGTGCTGGGCTGGCTCAGAACATGATCTTATAGCCCACAGTTCCCCAAGTCCTACATTCGGAAAACTGCAGCCCTGCCTCCCCATAAGTCAGCTGACTTGAGAACATGTTCCTAGATGTGGTTCCTGCCCTGAGGCCCAACCTTTGCCTTGGCATCTAGACCTCCAGCACAGTACTGGCCCATGGATCCTATTTCATGATGGTTTTCTGGGTCCACACAGTTTTTGAGCCCTTGCCCTGTTCTACACTCCTGGTAGGAACTATCCTGTCTACCAGGGCCTGAAGACTGTCAGCTATAATTATGTCTAGGGGGCCTCTAAGCCTGTCTGCCCACCACCATTAACAAAGATAACATGCCCTGAAAGATGGCAAGGAAAGACCACATTGAAACACGGTCTGCATGAAAAGCCCCAGTCCATCTTACGCCAAGGGAAGGAAAAAGTGAAAACAGGGGGAGTTCCCAGGGCACAAGCCACTTGGTGGGTGGTTCTATGAAACATTTCCTAAATGTCCATGTGCACAGAGGGCCCTGATCTTATTAATGATCAAGAGTGTCTGGGTTGGGTCCTGAAGCTCTGCACTTTTACCAAGTTCCCATTAGATGTCAGGAATGCTGATCCGTGGACTCCACTCGGAGCAACAAGCCCTAGTACATTTGTGAAAGAGTTGTAAGCTATGCTCATTGCTAGGGCCATAGCTAGCCCATATGGCAACATTATGCAAATTAAAAGGTGCCCTACTGCCTGTGTTTGGCAAGCTGTGCACAAGCTGGCCTTCAGTGGGACACCCGCCACAGCCATCTGCAGCCGCCTGCTGGCCCCACTGATAAGTGTTTGTGTTTCCCACAGGACTGGAGGTTACTGAGTGGTTAACCAGTTCGGAACAAGACTCTCCCATCTGCCTTCGTTCTCAGCTCCCCAACTCCAGGCAGTCTAGTCTGCCTGACTTCAGGGACCCAAGGCCTCAGAAGAACTGCTGAAGAAGTATTTGGAGCACACAGATCATTCATACATTCGTGATTCTTTCTCCTCAGACCTGAAAGCCAGCTTCAAACAAGCAGACCCCTGTGTAACTCGGCAATCCATATGCTTTTATAAAAGGAAGAAGGGCAGCTTATCTCTTTGAAATTGGGAACTGCGGGGCGGGTTGGGGCGAGAATCTGGACCCAGGGCATGCCAGACTGGCCTCAAATCCCCCACCTGCCTCTTTCAAGTAATGTGACAATGGGCATGTTAATTAATCTCTTTGAGCCTCTGTTTCCTAGTCTATAAACAAGAGCTCAGATGTTCGCATCTGAGGGTTGCCGGGCTGAAATGAGATAGTCCACAGGAAGCTCAAACAGTGCCTGACCCACTGGTGGCAGTCCACACCTGATCTTTCTTCATTTGGGGGAGAAGAATGTATGGTAGAAAAATTGAGGGTTTTTTTTTTTTTTTGGTCTTTTTGAGACAGGGTCTCCCTGTAGCCCCAGCTGTCCTGGAACTCACTATGTAGACCAGGCTGGCCTTGAACTTACAGAGATCTGCCTACCTCTGCCTGCCAAGTGCTGGGATTAAAGGCATGCGCCACCATGGAGGGTTCATTTTTGAGGGAAATAACTCAGGAAACCTGTTCAGAAACTCAAATGTGCTATGGATTTCGAGAATAGCAAGGCCAGAGGGCCTGTGATACCATCTAGCATGAATCACATCCCATAGGCATACAGACTGGCAGATAGGAGGCCAGAGAGATGGGAGGGCATGTCCCCAGCCTCTCAGCAAGCAAGCCCCAGACCCAGCACTTAGAACCCAGCAAGCTTGAGGGGTGTGGGTGGGGCTCCTTTTTGGGACTCCCTGGCATCTGGCAATCTTTACCAATTTTCCTTTCCTTCCTGGACACACAGCTATACTACACATCCGAGGTCCTGGGAATCTGAGTTCTGCTAGTGGAAAGTGCCAGAAGTAATGGTGATTATCCTCTACAACGCCCATCCCCCAACCTTAGCCTGTCCCCTGAAAGATGCAGTGTGACTGAATCCACAAGATGCCAGTGTCATGGTATAGACACATCCTGGATCTCCAAGTCACTGCTTGGTAGGGAGAGACCCAGCAGTGAGTGGTCAGGTAGACCACAAGAATGGGAGACAAGCTGCTCCTGTGTTCAACCACTGAGGGTTTGTTTTGTTTTGTTTTTGTTTTGTTTTGTTTGAGAAACTGGTAACCACTGAGATATCTCTCTTTCTCTCTCTGTCTCTCTGTCTCTCTTTCCTCCCTCTCCTCTCTCCTCTCTCTCTCTCTCTCTCTCTCTCTCTCTCTCTCACACACACACACACACACACACACACACACACACACACACACTTCACAACTGGGATATCTCAAAGCTTGAAACCCCAGTCTTCACCCAGCAGCGAGCTGTCTAGCTTACCATGGGTCCTGGGGCTCCATGAATTCCAGGTTCACCCTAAAATGGAAGATATGCACTTGTCACTCGGATGAACACTATTTGAGGTAGAATCAAAGACAGGAAGCCAAAGTAGATGTGTGCCTTCAGGGCCTGGTGATAGAATTACCTTTCTCCCTTTCACCATTTCCAGAGGAATGTCCCCAGTCAGGATGGCGCCCGGCTCTCCCTTTTCACCCTGCAATACAGAGAAATTTTTGAAGTTGGACCTCTTCCTGCAACTTTGTCTAGAGGGTCATGAAACCCTCCATCCTGCTGCCTTGACTTGTCACCTCCATCCCCTTTATAGTAGCCCTCCAGCACCACCACTTGAGCACAACCTTCTTGCTAGAGGACTGCAACAGCCTCCTACATGATGGGATGTTCTCTGAGATCTTCCTTCTACTGTCCAAGTTAACTGTCCAAGAGTACCCTTAAGGTACTGGTTTGCATATTTGATGGTTTGCTTCCCCAGGGACTTGATATTTGTCCCCACCAAGAATCCTTATTATTGTTTAAATAGCTGAATTTGGGAGAGATGAAGTTATAAACACCAGAGGCCTCTCCCAGCACAGGAACCTCCTGTCTCCTTATGTACCTTTCCCCCATACTCTAGGTCTTAGTGCAAACACCTACTTGGCTGGGCAGAGCTATTCTGGATGCTGAGAAAGAGATGATAGGAGACTGGGGACAAGGACGTGGGGCCCTTCTCCCAGTTCTGTCCTCTGTAGGGCCATCTACTTTCTCAGGAGGCTCCCAAGAAGACATAGACATAGGTTTGAGAACAAGATTCCATGCTCACCCTGAGGAACTGGGCTGGCCAGAGGGAGCCTCTTTTCAATAGCTAGAAGTGGTCAGGTAAGGGTACCAAGTGAGAAGAGAGGCCTTTCCATCTCCCAAAGCCCACAGCTGATATTTGGATCTTACCACTCCGCTGGTGAGGAAAGTCAGTCCTGAGCAGCAAGAAGAGGCAAGCAGAGTCATTAGAGGCACAGCGACAGGGAGTGCACTTACTGTGAGGGCTGGAGAAGAGCTGCTTGGCTGTCTGCCCAATGCCCAGTCATTCAAAGCAGCAGGGGGTTAGGGGCAGGAGCAGCACATTGGAACTACAGTCTGGGTCTCCCTGATCTTGCCACATAGGAAACAGCATTGAAAGCAAGAAGTGCCAGAGCTGACTCAACCCCATAACATCTCTGCAAGCCCGTGACAGCAAAAGCACCAAAGACAGCATCCTCATGTGGTTGCAAACTTTGCCTAACACACTGAACTCTCTACCCCATGACGGTGAGAGTCAACAGTTCCCATGGCATCTCTCCTCTTCCAAGCAAGGCAACATGGTAGGAAGGAAGACTAGAGAAAATTCCAAACCCACTCCTCTCAGAGAGATGCTCTTCCTTGACTCCCCAAGGAGTCATAGTCCCCCCCCCCCCGTGTAGCCTCCACTATAGCAGGGGGACACTTTCTGCTCATTCATCCCTGTGTGCTATCCCCATGTTCCTATAATTCTTGGTGTAGGAAACTGCTGAGTCCTTTAGGGATGAGAGAGGGACAGCACACAAGTGGATGTGGGAATAAGTGAATTCAAACCACAGTCTTTGCTATCTATTCATGGATGATTCTATTCCTTTTGGTTGTAATTACCTACTAGAAAGTTGATTCTAAGAGGCCATGTGGAGGCACAAAGGGCAGTTCTGTGCCTTGGGAGCTCTCCAGAAGTGCCCTGTATACTATTTATCCCAACTGCAGAATGTTCCAGCCTATAATCACCAAATATTAGCATTCATTTTATTCATCCTTCTACTCAGCGACTGTTAGAGGTATCATTTGTGGACCAGGCTCTGAACTGATACCAGAGCTATAGAAAAGTCTGTCCCCAGGAAGCACACATGATAACCCGTAGGTGGTTAGACAGAGTGAGGCATATGTGAGGAAAACAGAGACCACTGAGCTGCATTCTCTTTCCAGATTAGGTTGAAAATCAATGTTGCCCATCCATAGTAAGCCTTCCATCCTAAGATCATGGAAGTTACCAGATGGAGACTGCTAAAAGGCACAGGGTTTATCTGGAGCACAATAAGAGCATTCTAGAATTAGAAGAGTGGTGATACTTGTACAGCCTTGTGAATCTGCTAAACATCACCTAATTGTGCTCTACAAATTGTACCTCCAAGAAGATGGTTGACCAACGGGCAACAGTCAGCAAATTCTGAGCATGTACCCACCAGATACCTGGGCCCTCTCACCTGTTCTCCTTTCAGTCCTGGAAATCCAGGCACACCAGTGTCACCTTTGGGTCCTCTGGGGCCCTGCAAGGAATCATTGGAAGGCATTACGTTGATGGTTAACAGTCTTTAACCAAGCCTTTAATTCCAGCACTCCAGAGGTAGTGGTAGGCAGATCTCTGTGAGTCTGAGGCCAGCCTGGTCTATATAGTGAGTTCCAGGCCAGCCAGCACCACATAGTAAGACGCTGTCTCAAAAATCAACAAACAAAACAAAGAAAGAAAGAATGAAATCTACCTTCCCTTAGGTGTAGAAATGCCCTTATCTCCTCCCTTAGGGTTAATCCAGTGGGGCAAGTCAGGACCTGGCTAGAGGTCTATCCCTAGAAAACAAGTTCATCTAAAGATAATGTACTTTTAGCTTGGCATGGTGGTACACGCCTTTAATCCCAGCACCCGGGAGGCAGAGGCAGGGGATCTCTGTGAGATGGAGGCCAGCCCAGTCTACATAGAAACTTCCAGACTAGTTGGGGCTACAGGGAGACCCTGCCTCCCCTCCAAAAGATAATGTACTATTCCTTCCCAGAATTCCTGCCCCCTAGTGCAGTCTCTAAGTGCTATGATGTTGGGCTCAGGCTGCCCACCCTTCCTCAGAAAGGTTTCTTCTCTTCTTTTCTTTTGGATGCTCGCCAGAGCCCAAGTATGCTTTTAAGCTCCCCAGCAAATGCTTGGGGTCTCCTTGTTCTTGGGCTGTCTTCCCCATTGTCCCACCCTGTATCTGCTTGGCACCGGAGCTGCCGGTGGCTGACCCCAGCTCCTCCTTATCTCATGCAGCATGGCCTCGTTTCCTCTCCATTCTTCTACTCCCTTCCATGCAGCTGTGAGATTTATACTTGCCTGTCCTGGAGTTTTCCTTGTAAATGCTAATAAATTGTCCTTGAGCTTCCCTTTGAGTCTGCTCATAATTCTTTTATTAATGAAATTAAGAAGTCCAAGAGGGGCCCTGATTTCCCAGGTATCATAGGATGGCTCTTCTGGGACTCCCCAAGATTTCCAGTAACATTCCTTTTCTGTCTTTTAATTCTTTGATCAGAAGAGAAAACGAACCAGATTCTGTACCCCTAGATAGCATCACTTCTTTGCTATCCTCCAGCAGGGCAGGTGTTACTGAATCTGCCCATTAGCTGGTCCTGCTGGGCTGGTTCACCCACAGCCTCCCTGGGACATCTTGCATCTGCCCTCCCAGCACTCACCTCCCCAACTCCCACCCCACAAGATGGGATCCAGCATCCTAGCCTGACACCCAAACCCATCCTGGCCAGGCCTCACACCTCATCCTCCACATCATGGAGGTGATACCTTTCCCTTGACCACCCCATACCCAACCTGTGGTTTCTGTACTAAGGCTCATGCCACCTCTGCAGGGCTGCTTGTCACCCTCTACAGAGCCAAATTCTATACTCCCAGCCCAAAGCCACCTCTCCTCAACTTTAGCAGACACTGAACATTTGTGACAGTGACTTGCCCAGTCATGATGTCCATCCCCAAAATGGACAGCTTGGTACCTGATTACTATTCAGCTCTTCACAAACCCTATTTTGCTCTCCAGGTGAAAAAGTATGTTATCCATCACAGCAGTGTCTTAAAATATTTGTGAATAGTATTGTTTAGCAGTGAATTTCTGTTCTTTTCAAATAATCTTAAATAAAAGACAAATAGATAAAATCTGTCAAATGAAGTCTAGTGTATGGGGTCTGTGGCCTAGATCCTGCTCATGTAGACCCCCTTCACTTCCTGAAGTGGCTCCCTCAAAATGAAGAGCCACTCATACGGGAAAACATGTTGGAATGTTCCAGAAGGAGCTCTGCATCTTGAGGCTGCCTTCCTGGGGCTATCCTGAGGGGTACAACCTCTTCTGTTCACCACAAAGTTGTTTCCTACTCTGAAACCTCTCTTCTGCTCCCATGCCTTATTAACATGGATTTTTACCATCATCCATAGTTTATGCTCATTTAGAAAATATAAGGATAGTTCATTTGCATTAAAAGCAGAAAATATGAAAAGTTCAGAAAGTATGAAAAATAAAGTCATACAGTTCAGCCATCAAGAACAAATTCCTTTGTACTTTTGATCAATTTCCTTTATTTGTTCTGAAAACAGTATACTGGGCCTTTCAGAGTTGAGGGTTTCAGAGACCTCACCCTGGGGCCAGGCCTTGGGCTTCCAGATAAAACTGACTGCTCTCTATACAGAAACACATCACTCTTCCTATAAAAGCACACACAGACTGTTAATTAGTGGCCTTCCATTCCCCTCTCTCCCCCTCTTTCCATCATCACCTCCCTATCTCTTTAGGGACTTGATCTGCATTGCTTGAACCACTCAACTCATTCACTCTTGTTTATAACAAGCCAGCTGCTGCCATGGATGGTCAAGGTGTAAAGATAGGACCTAGCCCTCCGTAGCTGCCATAGAGCAGACAAACGCACCAGTGACTGCATGTTTGGCAAAAATAAAGTTCCATGGGTCTCAAAGAAGGGGACACTTCTGAGGGTAGTGTGAAGGAAAAACATGAATGACCAAGATGGTACTAGAGCTTGGTCATGCAGGGACAGAGGGAACTCCATCCTGAGAATAGGAACACACTAAGCACAGCCCCTGGTCACAGAGAGAAGAGAGCCATTGTGGTACTTACTGGAAATCCTGGCAGCCCAGGCACACCATCCGGCCCCTGCGATACACCAAAGACAAAGCATTTCCAGAGTCAGAAGGAGCACTGTGTCTCAGGGGCCCATTGTCCCTCAGGACCTGCCAAAGGCCTGAGCCTGTTTCTACACATCAAGGCCCACTGCCCCATTTTACAGAGGGGGATGCTGAGGCCACAAAGGGAAGGAACCATCCAGAATCACACAGCTAGTTAATGCTAGAGGCAGAAGCTTCCTCAAGGATCCAGAGTCCCACACACTGCTCCCCAAACCTGATTCTGCTCTCCATTGAAGCTTCTTCCACGTGAAGCTACTCAGTGCTTTTAATTCCTGAGGCTGATGGGCAGCATGGGGAATATGGATAAGTCATTTTTGAGGCAGTGCTGAGGGAGAAGCTGGGGAGAAGTGGATGCATGTTGGTGGGAGGTAGGTCTCTTCCTTTGTAGGAAGCAAGACTTTTAAAGGACTGGTAATTTTAAAGGACCCGGCAAACAGAGTTTACTTCACCACACTGGGGCCAGAGTCCCTCTTCCTGACAATCCCAGATACCTGTTACCATTAAAGGCACATGAGATTGGTGGGTCAGATATAGAAAGATGGATAGCACATAGATAAATAGATGATAGATATAGACAGATAGACACACAGTCTGTATCTTGCTTTGTTAGAAACCCAATAACTCCTGAAATCTCCAGTACTTCAGGGTACAAAGAACCCTGTGAATAGATTTTTTTCCTGATAGCTGCCTTGACTTGGGTTTTGAATTTTTAACTTGTTTGTTTGAGACAGGGTCTCACTATGTAGTTCTGGCTGGTTCAAGACCAGACAGGTCTTGAACTCAAGAGAGACCCACCTGACTCCCAAGTGCTGGGATTAACAGTGTGTGCCACCACACCTGGAACTGCCTTGGGTTTTGAATATTAGGGTCTTTAGATTGTTCATCTCAGTAGTGCACACAGGGAAGGGAGGCCTGTGGGACACAGCACGGAAGAGATGATGGAATGTACTGCAACAGTCTCTGTTCCACAGGAGAAGCTGGGAGCAGAGGAGCCTTCCAGAAGGCTGCAGGAATCTTGGGGTGGGTCATGGGTCTTCACCCTCAGATCATGAATAGATGGGGGCTCTGGTCAACCCCACTGGGAGCTGCAGAGTGGGCTGTCCCAGTGGATATCTGTTTTGCCTAGCTGTGGGGCATAAACCTCTGGGATCACAGTGATTTGCAGCGTACTTGGTATACTAAGCACTTTCACATCCTTCACCTGTTTTTTTTTTTCCTTTGGTCTTTTTGAGACAGGGTCTCTCTGTAGCCCCAGCTATCCTGGAACTCACTATGTAGACCAGGGTGGCCTTGAACTCACAGAGATCCGCCTGCCTCTGCCTCCTGAGTGTTGGGATTAAAGGTGTGTGCCACCATGCCCAGCATCCTTCACCTCTTATAAGCTGCCCCAAAGCCTGGAAAGGTGTTTTCTGGGAAAATGAGCAAGCAGGGGCTCCGAGTGGCAAGGTACAGGTGGGATTCAAAGGCTCCCATGGCCAGAGACTTTCTCCTCCCCAGTCCACAGCAGGTGCCATGGGAGCCTATAGCACAGAGGGGAAAAGAATACTTCCTTTTTTTGAGGCCCTGTCAAGTGTGGGTCAACTCCACAGCCTTGAGGAAGTCATGTGGATACCTTGTGTGCTAATTTCCGCATCTCTAAAACCCATGGGAGAAAGACCGAAGTGAGAGTCAGTCCCTCCTGGGTCCCAGTGGCCCCATTAGCACAATCCTATTCTGGGAAATGAGGTTGTACAAGTAAAAGCAGGCCCACAGCCCAATGCCCAATTGTCAGTGTTACAAGGATCCTTTGATTTTCATTACACATTTTGATGCACAGGGCCAGAAGATGCTGAGTTGAACACAACTCTGCAACATCAAATTATCATTATAATAACTTCTTTAAAAGGCAGATTTCTTTCCTTTAAACTTTGAAACTCCAGTTCTATGCTTCAGGGGCTAAACAGATTCCAACCCAACCCAGCACTTTCAACAGGGCCATCTAAGTACAGGCCTCACTCAAGGGCTGCTGATGATACAAACCGGAGGCCCCATGAGCTCAGGAATGTCCGAGAAATTCATGGATCCATTGGTGATGTTAATCAAAGACTGAAAAGAGAAAAATACCACAATGAGGACAAAGGACAGCATGCATCCCTCCTTGCTTCTGGCAGCGAGACCTTAACTTCAGTCGCCCAACATGGCACACATTGATCACACCCCAAAGCCACTGCCAAACACACCCATCCCTCCGCTTCCCATCAAACAGTCCCAGCCTGCCTGTCACTTCTCTTTTTTTAATTAAGTTTAAAATTACACGGTAGATGAATGCCATCTCTCTTTTAAAATTGTAAACATATGTATACATATATATGCACCCATATAAAGCATAGTCTGTGTGTGTGTGTGTGTGTGTGTGTGTATGTGCTGTTATTTTACATAAATGGCATCAGGCTGTATGCACTACTCTTCAACTCACTCTTTTCCACTCAATTATTTTGTGTGGAGAGCTTTCCATGTGCAATTCTGGAAGATGACTATTTTTAGTTTTAACAGACTGCCAGAGAGCCGTCCAAAGGGGCTGTACAATTTACACTTCCATCACAAGTATTCAATTACCTATTTCCCCATGCTCTTGATGCTTTTAAATCATTCTCTCTCTCTCTCTCTCTCTCTCTCTCTCTCTCTCTCTCTCTCTTTTCCTTTTAACTCTAGTCATTCTTTTTCCAGGTTTCTGGGACTTTTTTGCCTTTCTCCTGCTTCTAACCTAGTGTTACTGTCTCAGAAAGCCAGGATCTTTCATAAGCACAATGGCTTGGTAAATATGTATGTCAGATGGATGGATGGACAAATGGATGAATGGATGGATGGATGGACGGACAGATGGCTGGAAGACAGTATACATAGGCAAGCTCAGCTCAGCACTGCCTTCTTTCTCTTGTCTGACTCTGGGGTTAGTGAGCAGGTACTTATGGCTCCTCACTGGGTGAAAGCCTTTCATAGGCTCTCTGCCAGCGGTGAAGGTGGTCCTTTAGGCATATTGCTTATGCTTTGATTTTCTTTCTCTACTGGCTCAGAACCTTCTTAGAAAACATGGATGCTGCTTCTTTGGGGCTTCCACAAGACCCCAGTACTTATGCTCCTAGGCTATTGTCTGCCCCTGATCCTGTTGACCAGAAGATCCTACAGGTTGTATGTGGGAGAGCAGTGTCATGGGGGAAGGGGTCTAGGGATAGATAGGTGAGCACACTGGCAGGTGCAGGCCCCAACACTGGATGCTGGTTACATGCCTCTGCTCAGCCACTATCCATAAAGGGGTAGACAACCTCCTCTCCTCTTTAGCAAAGGCAGAAAACACACAAGATCCAAACTGGCTGATACTCACACTGGACAGGACCTCGATGCGCCCAGGTGGCCCCCTGGGCCCAGGGGGTCCCATGGTGCCTGTTCCATCCATTCCCCTTTCACCCTGGTTACAGCAGAGAGAAGTGACAAAAAAACTCATAGTCCATGGATAATGCTTCTAGAACCGTCTAGAAAGTTTTCCCCTAACCCCACTTCAGATGCGCTACTTTACCTTGGGTCCCTGGTCACCTTTTTCTCCTTTGGGACCCTGGAAAAATAAGCAGATAAACAGACATTGTTTGGTTTTCTCCTGTTCTCTGGGTGTACTCTGACTACTTTTCATCTTGCCATCTCTCCCTAAACTCTCCTATAGATGCTCTCCCAGGTGATGGGATCAAAGGAACAGGGGGATCTTTCCCTTCCAGGGTCAGAAGGGAAGACATTCACACAGAAGGCAAGCCTCATAGGCCCTCTCCCAGAATGGGAGTGTCACCTGATCCCACTCTCAGATCCTCTGAGTGTAGGAAGCTCTACGTTTTCTGCCCTAAAAGTTGCTCACTTCTGGGCACTCAGCCCTGGGTCCCATGTGACAAAGATCATGCATTCTCACAGAGTGTCCCCATGCAGGCGCACCACAGAGGACAAGGGCAGTGCTTGCTGGGAACCGATGAGCACAGCAGGGAAGTGTTTAGGAGAGGAACAAAGAATCAGAGATGCTCAGTGTTGAGGAACTGGCAGCTGGGGACAAAGATGACTTTCAAGTTTTCCAACATGATACTCTGTGTGTCTGTCTTCTTAGAGAAAGAAGCTACAAAAAGCTCCTTAGAAGCTCCTCAGACTGCACAGTAACCGAGGGCTGGAGGCATGGAGAGTGTGAAGAGCCAGGGTGGCCCCAACAGCCTGACAGCAGGACAACCTTCATAAAAGGGCTTAACGTCCACTTACACTTGGAGGGGTTGGTCCCGGGATTCTGGGTTCTTTCAGCAGTGGGATGCTTCCAGAACCTTCAGTATCCTAGGGAAGAGGGAAGAGCAAATATTTCAGAGCTAGCCAGAGTTCCCTGTTTGTGCCAGGAGAGGAGGCATTGAGGCTAGGGGCTCACAAGGGACTCTGCACAGCCTCTGCCCTAGGACCAGCATTCCGTGTGCTGGGATTTCCAGTGGTTCTTACTCCACATCACTCTTCAGGCACAGGAATGGGGGAAAGTACCTCAAATCCAAGTCCTGCTGTACAGCCAGGACCTGGAGGTCCAGGGGGTCCAGGAGGCCCTGGTGGTCCCATGACCCCAGGCATGCCAACTTGTCCATTTCTCCCTGGGGGCCCTGGAAAGCCTCGGTTGCCAGGGTCACCCTGAAAGGAAGAAGACAGGTTCATTATCAGCCCTGATTCCCTGGTGGGAGGAATGACATGCACACCTGAGTCCTTGAAGTTAATTAGATTGAGGAATTCTCTGATCAGCAGTGCTTAATGGCACAGAACAGCTGTCTTGCTAATCGGCATTTCCCTTGGTTGCTGCACACAGGAGGGGTGAGGAAAGGGAAACACCACAGGGTTTCCCTCCTCACAGTCCCCAGCTGCCCTGTCTTCCCTGAGCCATGGCTCTGTGGAGTGCTTCTCTCTGCTCTGTGACATTTATGGGTTCATTATTCTGGCCCAAAGGTACACTGATAGGAAAGGAAAGAGGAGGAGGGAGGGGAGAGCTATTCTTAGTTACCTTCTCACCGGCAGAACCATTGGGCCCTCTTGCTCCCTGGAACACACAAACACAGGGGTCAGTTAGGATGTGTTGCAGTAGACATGTTCAGAAGAAAATGCGGAAGTAGCATTTTCTTCTGAACATGTAAGTAGCACGATATGAAAACAGACTTTGTCCAACCTGAGTATACCACAGTAGGTGTCAGCCTACTGGATGCTCGGGCTGAAGTCTGAGAAACCCATTCTTAGACCACCCCTAACATTGAGAGCAAAGTAGAGCAGTTGGAGGTGAAGCAGAGAGAGATCACAGAATCCTCTTGGATTCTCACATTGAGGCAGCTGCTCCCCCACCCCTCCCACGGCAGAGGTAAGGAGTGCTTCCTAACTCTAAACCAAGAGAAAGGGGTGTTGGTTAATGCCAATTATCCACTTGATTGGAGTGAGAAGCACCCAGGAGATTAGTAAAGCAAAGTTCCAGGTCTATCTGTGAGGGAGTTTCCAGAGGGATTAATTAAGAAAGAATGATCTGCCCTGAGTATGGGTGGTGCCATCCCATAGGCTGGGGACCCAGATGGAACCAAGTTGGAAGAAGCCAGCTACCAGAGCATGTTGTCTCTCACCCTCTCCCTCTCCCTCTGCCTCAGCCTCTCCTCCCTCTCCCTCCCCTCAGCTATCCGAGCTACCAGAAGGTAAGTAACTAAGTTCTGTCACACTATCTTGCAACCATGACTCTGCCTCATCATCACCCAGAAACACACAAACACAGGAGCTAGGGGACTGGGCTAAAACCTCTGAAATGCTGAGCCAAAATGAGGCTTTCCTTCCTTTAAATTGTTCTCCTGCAGGAGCTAATCCAGCCATTACATGGCCACAGAAGACTGTGATATTAATTATGATGTGCCCGTCACCTAACATGGCATCTTCCCTTGCCCTTTTTCCTGAGCTATACCAAATCCATAGGAATGACAAAATTAAGAAAGGAGTCACTCAGGTCTAAAAAGGAATGCCAAAGTGAAACAGATGGAAAGCTGATAAGGAGAGCTTAGCCACACAGAGAAAACAGAGAGAAGAGCACCACCGTGGGGAAAACTGGAATGGGGCAGTCCAGGAGGAAGCAGCAGGGGGAAGCCCCGGGGTCCGGAGGGGCATGAGGAAGTGGGGCAGCCCAGGAGCTTCTGAAAGGGAGACAGCCTGAATTTCTGCATCAGGACAGCCATTCAACCCTGACCATTCCCCTCATCTCCTAGTTCCACCCGTGTCAAGGAGCACCCATGGGTGCCTTAATGCCGCAAGAATAGTAAGAGTTATTAGTGAAGCAGAGAGGGCAGAGCCCCAGGTGACTAGAGGTCTCTGGAAGCCTGGAAGATTCACAAGCACCAAAAGGAGATCAGCTTCTGAGACAGCCGCCCAACTGCCCAGGGGTGGCACCACCCACAGTTGACTGGGCCCTCCCACATCACTCAGCAGTCAAGAAGATGCCCCACAGACATGGCCACAGGCCAGTCCTATGGAGGCAATTCCCCAATTGAGGCTCCCACAACCCAGGTGTGTCAGGTTGACACTAAAGTTATCCAGCATACAGTTTGTCTGAGGGTTCATTCTGCTCTTACCATCCCCATTCTGAATTTCACGAGCCTTGAAGAAGCCACTGCCCACTTGCCCAGTGATAAATACAAAGGCATAAAAACTAAACTTGGATGCCAATTTTGATAGCAAACACATGGAAAAAAGTCATTGGTCTGAAGGAAGGCAACACTGTGAAGGAGACACAAAGTCAACAATAGAAAAAAAGCAACAGCATTAAGAAAACAATGCAGGTCGGGCGTGGTGGTGCATGCCTTTAATCCCAGCACTTGGGAGGCAGAGGCAGGGGGATCTTTGTGAGTTCAAGGCCAGCCTGGTCTACATAGTGAGTTCCAGGACAACTGGGGCTACAGGGAGACCGAAAAAAAAAAAAAAAAAAAAAAAAAAAAGAAAGAAAACGATACAATCAGGACTTTAGGTATATATTCTCGGAAAGAAAAGAGAAGACATTGTAATCAGGAAACAAGAACAAGTGATTACAGGGTGAGATCGGTGGTTATGAAAAAGAACACTTAGCAGTCATGGAAATAAAAATATACCATCGTTGAAATGAGGAACTAACAGAAGATACACACCCCCAAAAAAAACTAAGAAAGAGGACCAAAGACCAGGCTATGTTGTTTCAGAAATCAGCAAATGGATAAAGACCTAGAAAGAATGGCAAAATGGAGCTCGGAGAACAGTCAGAAGTTCTAATATCTACTTAACTAGAACAGAGAGAAAGTAGCACCTAAAAAACTATGGCTAAACATGTCTACACCTGCTCTTGGTTGAATATGTCTACACCTGCTCTTAGCCAAAGGGCTGAAGAGAGATGTTGAACATTTTTAGAAAATCAAAAAACATACACAGAGGTATCCGGATTAAATAACACAGCAGAAAGGCTATATGTTACCAAGAAGGTTAAGTGGGAAGATGCTTTTTTTTAAAGAATCCACATCTAGTGTCAATGTATAGGGGATTTCAATAGATGAAAAATATAGAAAAGCAAGTTCCCAAATTTGCCAAATGGAAAAGTCAGATGACCTTCAATAGGCTGAAAATCAGAGTGAAATCTGAGTTCATACTAGATAGCAACTGGGGTTGCCTTCAAATCTCTAGGGCAAATGTCTTTTTGGGGGGGGTCTTTTTGAGACAGGGTTTCCCTTGTAGCCCCAGCTGCCTCCCGAGTGCTGGGATTAAAGGCATGTGCCACTGGCAAATGTCTTTTTTAAAAATTATTTTTATTTAGTGTGTGTGTGTGTGTGTGATATGTGTATCTTCCCAGCAACATGTCAAACCACCAGCAGGGGCTCTTGTGAACCACAAGAGCTTGGAACATGAGCAGATTAGCCTGGAGATGGAAGGGTCCACCTTACTGGAATTTTTGTGAACTGATAAGGTGAAAATTGAGACCTGTGATAAATGGTTCAGAAAAGACTCTGTACTTCCAAAATGGGAGGATAGAGAGTACTTCACTCCATAGCCAGAGGAATTGTTGTTCAGTGAGTCTGTGCACTATCCTATTAGCAGAGCTGTGTGGTCCTAAGTGGGAAACTATGGAGAGAGCAAGTCTACAGTGGAGTGATGTACAGCAGTGCTGTGTGTTACAAGATTGTAGCTTACAATTTGCTTCACTTTTTATTTTTGAGGCAGGTTCTCACCATGTAGGCCTAGCTGGTGTGGAGCTCACTATGTAGACCAGGGTAGCCTTGAGTGTTGGAATTAAAGACAGGTGCCACCACAACTGGTCTATAGTTCAGAATGTGTCGTGATTATTCTTGATGGTCTGCTTGCCTGGCCTGAGATGTGCACAGAAGATTAGAAAAGCACACTTCTGGATATGTCTGTGAGGGTGTCTGAGATTATTAAATCCCTAAAGAGGGAGGTCCTATCCTGAATGTGGGTAGCACTATCCCATAGAATAAAAGGGAGAAAAGGAGAGAGCTCAATAGCTCAGGTCCACACTCTCTGCTCTCTGGCCATCACAAGGTGAGCAGCTCTGCTCCCCAGCTGTACCATGTGCTCCCCACCATGATGGACCTAAACCTTTGAAACCATGAGCCAAACACATCCTTCTACCTTCCTATTGCTTTTCTCAAGGATTCTGTCATGGTGACAAGAAAAGTAACACAGAATTCATTAGAAATTTTTACTCATTGTGGTAAACTGAATTATCAAAGACATTACTAGATGTCAGCCTACTGGAATATCAAAGAAGCCAGTAGATGCATGGCTTTTTTTTTTAAACTGGGGTCCCTAGTGGAGCTATCTGCTGGGTTTACTCATGGCATTAGAAATAATAACTTTCAGCTCATCATCCTCTACAGTTGACTATGATCTGTTTGGTTTTATGGAAGCCTATCACCCACATGTTGTCCTAAAGACATCTGATGAAGAAAGAAGATAGAAGATAGGAAGTCAGTCCAGTGTTACAATGTTTTAGACTCTGAGCACAGCTGTTACTGGATTCTAGGCAAAAGTAGCTTGCCAATTGCTCAGTCTTAAAGGAGACCCTGGTCTTTATTACATAAGATGTGACAATTATATCAAAGTAAACTGGGATTACTAAGAGAAAGGGAAGGTGGTGACCACTTCATTGCATGCTTCTTTCAACCTACAGGAAAGACAGAAGCTCAATTTACAATGACATTTCAAGCCCAATGAGATGACTCAAAGGCAGTTCAGTGGAGTACAAGGTTTCGCAGAAATTCTGGGTAGTTGAGAAAACTTCAGAGCACAGACTCTTTCCTGCTTGGGTGTTCTAGAACCTTCAAAGGCTGAAGAATAACACGAGTGCTTCCCTGGACTCTGGAGGATCCATGCCCTCAGACAGAAGCTGCAGAACAAAAAGGAGCAATGTTGAGAGCCTCCATCTCCAGCAGGCTCCTCCACATCACTTCCAGATGTGAAGTTGTTAGCTGCCATGTGGGTGCTGGAAACCGAAACCTAGGTCCTCTGCAAGAGCAGCAAGTGCTCTTAACCACTGAGCCATCTCTCCAGCCCTACTGGATACATTCTTAATGACCAGTTACACTTTGATGACATCCACACACTTGATAATAATTATATATAAACGTATTATATTTTCCAGTTAAATAAACTGAGCCTTGTTGTTTGTTTATATGGGAACCTCACTTTGGGCCAGGGCATGGCAGTACATACATGTAATTCCAGCATTTGGGAGTTGGAAGCAGGAGAAGGAGGAGTTCAAAATTATCCTCAGATGCATTGTGGAGTTAGACGCCAGTCTGTGCTGCATGAGACCCTGTCTCAAAAACAACAAACCCTTCACTTTGGTTACTGCCTAGATTGTTCTGTGTGCCCTGCTAATGAGGAGCACGGTTGACTGCACACCATGCTCCTCATTATGAGAAAAGATTTTCCTACAACTCAGTCTATCCAACTGTGGGAGGAATACTGCCTCCTACACTGGCTCAAGTCAGCGGTCAGAGGTATCATTGGACCGTATATACTGTAAGTCCCTGAGATTCGAGTGACTTTATTCCAGACTGTGCTCCTTGGTTTACTTTTTACTCCCTTTTAGGTAAATGTCATGAATAAGGTGTCCCTCGAGCTCTCCACAAAGGCTAATTTCCAAGTCCTCCTAGAATCTGCTTTTATTTGACCAAAGAAAGCATCCTATACACCCAGAACAACACTGGCCCTTCTAACAAATCTCAGGAATAAATGAACAAAACCACTCTCTGGGACTGGAGAGATGGCTGAGTGGTTAAGAGTGCATGCTGCTCTCCCAGAAGACCCGAGTTCAGTTCCCACTACCCTTGTCCAGCAGCTCATAACCACCTGTAACTCCGGCTCCAAGGGATCTAAGATCCTCTTCTGGCTTCCCCAGATACCCCCCACATACATGGCACACACATGTGGTATACACACACATAAATAAAAATAAAACACACTCTTAAAAAAATTTTCCAGGGCTGGAGAGATGGCTCAGTGATTAAGAGCACTAACTGCTCTTGCAAAGGACACAGGTTGATTCCCAGCATCCATATGGCAGCTAACAGGCTAACAACTGTCTGTAACTCCAGTTCCAGGGGATCTGACGCCTTCTTCTGACCTCTGAGGGCATTGCACAACACAGGTGCACGCAAACATATGCAGGCAATATACTCATACACATAAAAAAGTAAAAATAATAAAAAATATTACAAAAAAAATCTCCAATAGTTATCTTGGAAAAGGCCACCCTTCCTCCCCACAGCTCTGTGGCTGCAGCCACCTATAGCCTACAGCACATGAATGTCTGTTTTATTGAATTTTTGTGTATTTCATACAGAACATCTCAATCAGTCTTAATCATCTTTACACTCCCTTCCCCACTGGCACCCTCCCATAGCCCCCGCCCCCACTGGAATTCATACATTCTGTCATTTGCATTAAGGCCTATTGTGTCGCGTTAGCGTCCCCAGATGTTCCTCAGCACAGTTCACCTACTGAAGTGTAGTCAGCCTATCTAGGGTCCCTTGCTTTAGGAAGATCAGCTCTTCCTCACCCAGACAGTGTGGGAGGTCTGCCCACTGGTTGGTAAGAACAGACAAGATAAGTGTGGGCTTGTGGTGTTTCCTGCAGAGCTAAATTTCGTACAAAAACAGTTGGTACATATAAAATTTCACAGTTGCTTCTTTTTCTGAGAAACTTACTTTCACTAAAAATCAAGTGACTGTTTCAATTAAACATACTTGAGAGCTAATGGAAACTGAAATTCTGTTCAGGGGCTGTGATATCCTGGTGGTTGGCATTTTTCGCATGTTCATGGGGTGGCTGGTGTACAGAGGCCCCTGCCTCCCACCACAATGGAGAAGGACCACCCTCCTTGAATCTCAGTAAACCCTATAAGCACACCACTAGTACAAAGTTCCTTGTTTTTTTTTGCTTCCCTTTGCAGGAAGCAGCTGGTCTCATTAAGCTAGCTAGGAAGGTTGCAGGGGCAGGAACTGCCTTCTGCCCAGAGCACCAGCATGGATTTATAGACAATAGACAGGCTTACTAAGAAGAACTGAAGGCAGGTTAACTGGGAATGGTGAATTAAAATGATATGTGAAGGATATTTGATTCAGTCATAAAAAGGAATAGAGCCTTGTGCTAGGTTTTTAGGGTACAGAGGCTCGAAGGCAGGTGGAAGAAGCAGGGCAAACAGGTAACAATAACTTCTGTGTCATTGGCTGAGTTCTCAGTAGTGTAAATCCTGTGATCATAGAAAGTAGAGGAAGGAAGGATGCTGTCAAAAAAAGAGTTGAGGGGAAGCCAGGCACAGCAGCATACTTCTGTAATCCTAGCACACTGCAGGCTGAGGCAGGAGAATCACAAGTTCAAGTCTGAGCTATACAGCACGACCCTGTCTCAACAAATCCCAAACCAAATATTAAACCTAAATAAAAGAGCGTGAAAGAGCTGCCCAGAGGATAGTCAGTACCCCTTCCCACTTTATCCACAGTTCCACTATCTGTGACTTTAGTTACGCAGTCAGCCACAGTCTGAAATATTAAATGGAAAGTTCCATAAATAAGCAATCCACAAGCTTTAAGTCACATACCATTCTGAATAATACAATGAAACCTTACACCATCCTACTTCTTCCTACCCAGGACATAAGCAATCCAGTGGTCCAGCATATCCGTATTGTATACACTAGCCACCTGTCAGTAACTTAGTCACCATCTTGGTTATTGGGCCTACTGCATACTATATGGTTCTCCTGTTCACTAGCCATCATTTTACTTAGTAACAACCCCAAAGTGAAGACTACTAATACTGCTGATTTTGGTTCAGAATGTTGCTATAATTGTTCTAGTGTATCATTAGTTATTACTGTTAATCTCTTATTATACTTAATTTAGAAACTATCATAAATATGAACATATAAAGAAAACACTATATGGGGGAAGGGAGGGAGGGAGGGAGGGAGGGAGAGAGAGAGAGAGAGAGAGAGAGAGAGAGAGAGAGAGAGAGAGAGAGAGAGGGAAAGTGAGTTTGGTATTATCTAGTTTCAGAGTCACTGGAGGTCTAGGATCATAACCCTTAGGATTTAGAGAGGCCACTGTATCTGAACTGGGCCTTAATGAGAAAAGAAAAGGACATTCCAGGCAAGGCCGAAACCGTATGCTGAGGCTCAAAGGCTGGCAGAGAGGAGCATGCCCAAGTATTTCAGCAACTGGCTTGTTGCTTGGAGCTGTGCCAGTGACAGTGGACCATGTGCTAGGGAGGCAGCTGGTGCCAACCAGGAAGAAGATTAGGGCTTTGTCCAACAGGGTGCCACTGTTATTTTCTCAGGGCCAGGGCAGTGGCTGGTGAGTGCCTGCCACATGAAGACAGACAGGGCAGTGGGTGGAAGATGGAACAGTGAGACATCATGAGGGGCCCAATACCACACGGTAGGTAGGAAGAGATGAATGCCTGCTTGAGAAGCAGAGAAAGGTGATAGGTATGGAAGTCACTTTTGGAAGCTGGCCAATGGTGAGGGGGAAGAGAGGGGAGGGAGGAGCTGGGGAAGACTGTCTAAGCACAGAGCACAGGCTAGATGATAGCACTGGTTACTGAAGCTGGAGCACACAGAGGTGGGCAGGATAGACACTAAACAGGCATGAGCATAGCGAGCCCACGATGAGAACGTCCAGCAGAGGCAACCAGAAGGGGATAAGAGTCACTTACAGAAGAGACAAGGTCAGGTTTAAGGGTTAGAGAGTGTGGCCCTGCAGGCTGCCTGTGTCAGAGCCTCACCCTGTCCCCATACCTTCTCTCCTTTCATCCCAGGCTTTCCAGAAGCTCCGTCAAGTCCAGGCTGACCTTCAGGACCCTAGAGAACAGCAGTGACAATCAGCTCACAGCATTTCTGCCAAGAATCACACATGGACTGTAGAAAGGAGGGCAAGTTGAGGAACTGAAATCCGTGAGCGCAGGGTTTGTTGTCTGTTCCCTGAGACAAGCATCCTCCGCTCTCTGGGTCACGTCTTCTCCTCTGGAGGACATTAGGAGCAGGACAGGACCAGCTTGTCTCCAAGGATTCCCCACCTCAGGCCCAGCTCTTGGGTTTTATGGTAGGTTCCAAGATCTCCCATGAACCTGTAACCCACTCTGATGATAAAGCAGGAAAGCAGTTCTAGGATGTTCTTAGCTGTTGCTTCTCTGGAGTCTCCACAAGGACACAGACTGGGAAGATTTTGCTCCCTAGCCTTAGGCAGTGCTGAGTCTGCAAACTGTGTGCCCCTTTCCTGGCTAAAGGAAGCCCTGTGGCTACAGAGAGGTGGTGGGGGCTTCTGTTGCTCACCGGGAGTCCTGGCTCGCCAGTAGCTCCATCCTCTCCAGGAGGGCCAGGGGGCCCCATGAAAACATCAGTTCCTGGCTTTCCTGGAATCCCAGGTGATCCAGGTGGGCCTGGGGGGCCAGGAGGACCCTGAAACACAGACAGTGTGTTAGAAATAATGAGGAGGGTAAATATACTAAACACGTTTGGACCTGCTCTCTAATGGTGCAGCCATCCTACAAGGAGGGATTGGGTGTTTTCCCACCTTGCAGATGGGAAAACAGAGACTCAGTGAAACCAAGTGATTCAAGGACTCAGTCAGAAAACTGATAAGCAGGAGAGTTGGGATTATTTGAATCTAGGGTTTTTTGAGCCCAACACAACATGTTTTCTACCAAATGATGTATATAATAAAGATCCAATTAGCTGGAATCCCAGAGGCGCCTCACTAATTCAGCTTTCTGATTAACTGTAAGGTCAGCCAAACAGCCTGTGTTTGGCGTAGCCCTTGAAATGTTTCTTGGAGTGAACCCATCTCTTTAACCTCCTACTAGGTTAGCAGATGCCACCAGCCTAAAAGATTCTTGGAAGACCCACCGGGCTTCCCACCACCCTTCCACTGAGCCCAAAGCCCTTCTAGTTTTGATCATGAGAGTAGGCAGGGGACAGCTAAGTGGAGCTGGGGTCCAGCCCAGGAGCTCAGGGGAAGGGCTGAAGGAGAGTTGGGTTCCAGGATGGAGCAGCAGCGACATCTGGAGCTTATGGTACTCCATAAGGATGTGGAGCCCAGCCTTGGGCAGAAGGCAGGCAAGCCACAGGCACCAAGGAGAGGGCAAGAGCAGACTGGAGGTGGGGGTGCCTACCTGAGGGTAGGGAGGATTTCAGGAAGGCTCTGAAGTTTGAATGGAAATTGCTATCCAGACAGAGAAGAGGCCTGAATGTTTTTTTCATGAATAAGAAGTAAGGTGGGAGACATGCATGGAGGTGGAGGTCAATGGGCAAACTTGTTATGAACGGGGTAGAGAACATAGCAGCTGGACAAGGAGGGGGGTGGCAAAGTGGGGGTTCTGAATGCAAATTCAGGCTCACACTCAGGTAAAATGAAATGGATCAAAGTGGGAATTTCAAAAATGTAAAATGTAAAGAGAAGCACATGACAAAACACACAGCTCACTGCCTACAGTCCCCACAGGAGCCAGTCTGATTTCAACCACTGTCCATCCCATGGCTCTCCCTCCTAGATCCCTGATGCCAGTCCCCAGCACCCCTCATACTCACTCTCAACAATTCCTCACTGCCCATCACGTCTCCAGAGCCTGAGCCACCATCCAGGCCCCAGCCCAGGCCAGAGCCCTCAGCCTCCACTCCCACCTGCAGAGAAAAGAAATCTCCACAACTGGACTCTGCCTCCAGCTTCCACAGACAGCCATGCCATGCCACTTCAGTCTCCCCAATGTCCAGCCCACAGGCGGTCTGGTCTCAGCCTCTTTTTATGTCCCTGCTCCCCCTCAGACCTAATGGGTTCCAGTATGAAGCTGTTGTCAGTGGAACCCATCTCCCCGTCCTCTATGCTCCACTAGCCTCTGTCTAGGTCTCAGCGTGGGTCGCCTGGCTTCAAGCACAGTTGTTCATGCATGTTGGCCCCTGTACACTGGGACTCCTTAAGGGAAGGCCCACTCTTTTGGTTCCCTGGGTGTTCAGAGTCTGGCACAAGATCTGGCCCTTGTAAATGTCATTAAGTGTCTCCAAAGAAGCACAGAGAATTTTCAAGACACCTTCCTGCTATTTTATCCCTGAAGTCATGACCTAGGCAAGGCTTCATTTGATCATGAAATGTGTACATACTGAGCCCCACTGAGAGGCCCACAGAGGAGCTATGTTTGGGGTTAGAGCCAGGAGCAGGAAGGTTATCATGGGGTGGGTGTGTAGAAGGCAGTAGTGCTGGAAGCAGGGAGACCCATTAAGAAGGCTGTTGTCATCATCTGAGGGAGGAGGGAGCACCACACAGCTAGACTCAGTGAACCTGGGGATGGTCTAGATAGGGGGTAATGGGGAAGGAACCCCTTAAGAACATTCCTGGTTTGTCTCCTGTTGACCAGATAAATGGAGTGTCACTCCAAGAGATGGGAAGCCCAGTGGGGAGGAGCAGGTCTGGAATCATGGTGACAAGTTGGGATGCTGTGGGTTGAAGACTATCTGAGCCCCTTGGGGCACAGGAAATAAATGTGATATAAGTGAAATCTGTATCCTGCAGGGTCCTAATACAGAAAAAGCCTGACTGGAAGGAATTGGGTGGCCAACTAGAATAATCCCAGCCTGTGACTCTGCTTGCATGCTGTGTGTGATAACCTTGGGTGGCAATCTCACTGTGGGTACAGCAGGCTCAGAGAGTCTGGAGGGACAGGAAGTCCCTCCCTAGCATTGTCCTAAAGAGACCTACAGGATCAATGAGGTGTCATCTCTCACTGCCCCTTCCTCTCTGTAGTAATTGCTCATCTTTAAGCTCTACACGCAGAGTGAAGACAGGTATTGTCCTTTACAGAGATGGCTCAAGGCATACACAGTGCCTCCCACTAGGGCTCAGTGGCCTTTTGTTCCTGCACCACACTGGGGGGAGGAGGGGCATGGTGGGACAAGCTGATCATGTGGACAGGCATTATACATATTCCCTTGCTATCCAGGACTCCTCCAGCTCTGGTTTTAGCTCTGTCAGAGCTATGGCATTTGGGGCCAGTGCCACTGTTTCAGGAGAAACAGGCTTGCCAAAGCCTTTCTGGGTCTTAAATGGTCCCAAATCTGCCTCTCTGGCACCCTGATCTTCTCCAGAGAGCACTTCCAGTTCCCAGTCCCTGACATTGCTGGTGCTCAGGAAATGCCTTTAGATGCCAGAAGCACCCATGTAGGAAGGAGGGAGAAGAGGAAATACAATCATCTCAGGAGATGTCAGCTGCCAAAAGGCCTCCAGAATAATGCCTGCTCTGCCCAATAAAGTGACAGAGTGGTTGAGCTGAACCAAAGGAGAGTGGCAAGGGGTATGGACAGTTAACACCAGATGCAGTGTTATGGGGCCCCTTTTTATGATTCCCTGCAACCCCTTAGAGCCCCGAAGCCTCTGAGGTTCTCTAGAGTAGCAAAGATGGAGAGAAAGGATAGCCTACCCCAGGCCCCCATCCTTCCTTCCCACATTCAGTGGGCAATTGCTTAGGATCTAGGGCCAGGCACTGGCTTCCTGAAAGAGCTGAGAACAAGGGAGCCAGGGCCACTGTGGACATGAAGAGGACCCCCTCCAATTGTCTCCTGTGGCCAGAGCAGGTTCCCAGTGCAGGGCCCCTGGGGACCACTGCCAGGGTCACTCTTGCCCCAGCAGTCCTTTTAGAGGGGAACAGTTATCACTGCAGTGATGGCACTCGGCGTTTGCCTAAACACTGCTTCATCCTACTCTGCAGGTAATTCCTACTACCCCATCCTACAGATGAAGAAACTGAGATAGAATAACCAAGAACTCTCCCGAGATCCTCCAGTGACCAAGAGGCTGACTCAGACCTGGGGTCCTTGGGGACTTTTGCTCACCAACTCCTTCCCAGGAGGAAAACCAGGGGCAGAACACCTGCATGGGAAAGATTTTCCATAACAGATGGAGAAAGTGAGCCCTGCAGAGGTCAAGGGACTCAGCCAAGTTCTTCAGTTGGTAAGAGAAGATTGGCCAGAACCACCCCATGCCGTTTATGTTTCTCCTAGAATGATGTCCAATTCCATCTTTTCAGGCTGGTTCTCTTGAAGCTTCAATCACTACCCAGAATCAATTAAATTAACCCCAGGTAGCATGCTCAGCATATTCAAAATGGTCGCAGTACTAACCTTTTCTCCTCTGGGCCCAGCGTGCTCTGTCATTCCCATGTGTACTTTCTGAGTCTAAAACAGGAAAATTTGGTTAAAATTTGGCCGCAGTGTCTTTGGGACATGCAGGCTTGCAAAGCAAGACCTTGGGAACTGTGGTTGGGGTCAGCATGATTTAGGAATCGCTTGCCCAACAGTACTTCCAGAGAACTGTTATCTTTGCAGTGGTGGACCTCAGACAATGTTTGCTAAGGACATTCCAAGCCCTAGCCAGCAAGCTGAGGTTGGGGGTGGTAAGGCCAGGAAGAGGTGTGACCACCCACAGATACTACTCCATCCCCTGCACCTGGCAGGCCACAGACTCTCAATAGCCAAGTGACTATTGGAAGATTAGGGCATTTAGTGTCACACAGACTTGGCAGTCAGTCTCATCTCTTGCTAATGCTCCACAACACTAAATGTGTTCCAAATACATTAGTTCATTTTAAGGGTAATGTTCTCTAAAACATTCTAACATCTAGTCAGTACTTGGAAATGGAATGACTTCATTTTCAAACATTGGGGTTTTTACTAACCAATTTCTGGCTCATGTCTGAAGATGCTGGCTTGCCTGTGGACAGCACAAAGACTCAAGACACAAAGTCCGAAGAGCATGTTCTTTCTCCTGCTTCTAGGAGATATGTGACCTTGAACAAAGTGCTAACGCTCTCTGGGCCTCAAGTGAAAACTAATTCTATGTCAATAATGTATTGAACAAGTAAAATATGCTAGGCAAAATTTTGCGTGTATGAACTCATTGAATCCTTACAACAAACCAAGAGGTAGTCTTCACAATTGTGATCCTCATGCTTTGTAGACAAGAAGACAAGAAGAGGTGAAGAAATTGGTTACGGATGAGCAGTAGAACCAGGATTGGATGCTGCCTCTAACCCACAAAGCTGTACTGTCTTGCTTGTGAGATGCAAAATGATGCTAAGAATATTCCAGGATGGGTGCTCTCTTGACTGTCCTCACTGTGCTTTTAAGCTCTCTGCATAGGAACTGAGGCATCAGTTTCTGTTCATAGCAGGTACCTAGCATAGGCACTTGGCAATGATCTAGCTTCATGAGTTGCATGCTGGGATGTTGTACTGTGTGTTCATTTGCTCCTTCACCTCCTCCTCCTCTTCCAGCTCCTCTGACTTCTCTTCCTTCTCCTCCCTCCCTTCCCCCTCCCCCTCTTTCTCTCTAGCCAGGCTTCCATTCCATTCATAGAGATTTTTTAAAAATCTGGGTCTAGAGAGATGGCTCAACAGGTAAAAGAGATTGGTGAGGATCAGAGTTCCAATCCCAACACCCACATAACAAGTTGGGCTCTGAGAGGACAGAGCCAGGAGGATTGACGGGGCTTGTTGGCTTCCAGCCTAGTCAAGAAAACAGAGTCCTGGGTTCAGGAAGAGACCCTCCCCCAAAGAAAAGATGAAGAGGACTAGAAGAGGATACCTGATACCCTGTTCTGCTCTTCTCACATGCACACACCCACACACAAAATGCACATACACACATACATTCATAGGAAAAAAATTTTTTTAATCTATCATAAGGGCTAGGAATGTAGATCAGTGACAGAGAGCTCAGTTGGCAGGCCCAAAGTCATGGATTCAATCCCCAGAACTACAAAAATGAAATAAAAAACTGTAAAAAAAATCTACTGTAAAAATCATAAGCTCTCATGATGCAAAGCAACAAAACGCATGAACTGAACAACCTCCCCCAGGACCAACACTTTGAAACAATGCTGCTCGAATTTAGAGAGGGTGTAGTTTTTGTATGTGTGTTATTTTGAAACAGTTAAGACCACACAAGACACTCAAGTTTATAACCAGCTTCTTTCATTTAGCATGATATGGTAAGCATTTTCTCATCATTAAATACTAATAAGGATAAGGTTAATAATGCCTGATGCTCCATTATTTGAATAGACTTTAATTCAATTAATCCCCCTTTGTTAGCTAATTAAATTATGGCAATTTCTCTCTATTATGGACAGACATTAAGATTAACAGCCTTGTAAACAAATCCTTTATACAGTTCAGACTATCTCCATTAAGAAGGATTCTTAGAGCCAAAGCTCCTGGCTGTAATTCTATGGTGGTGAATTTGTGATTGCTAATATGCAGTTTTATAGTTGCTAATATATGTAGACCGTTTCCCAGAAACAGAAAGCCCTGGTCATCCCCCCTAGCATGGCTGGCCCCACAACCCAACTTCTCAGAGCAGAATACTCAAGGATACAAGGATGACTGGCCCAGTTTCTCCAATGAACCAATGGCAAACAGAAAAAGAAAGGTGGGAGACAGCCAGAGACTAAAGAGCATCTGAGAGATATGCCAACACATGAGCAGACTTTGGATTCAGGGTCAAAATAAGTGGGAACAGGCATTTAAAAGTCCACCAGAGGATTAGATAATCCTCGGGCTGCTCTTGCAGAGGACTTGGGTTCGGTTCCCAGCACCCACATGACAGCTAACAACTATCTGTAACTCCAGCTCAGGGGAATCTGGTGCCCTCTTCTGACCTACAAGGGCATTGCATGACATGGGTGCACTTACACACATGCAAGCAATACACTCATACACATAAAAAATAAAACAAGCTGGACCCCAGCACTCAAGAAGCAGAGGCAAGTGGATCTCTGTGAGATTGAGGCTAGCCTGGGATGGTCTACATAGCAAGTTCCAGGTCAGATGGAGCACATGGTGAGACCCTTTTCAAATAAATAAATAAATAAATAAATAAATAAATAAATAAAACAAAACCCAAAGGAGCTGTTATTAATTTTGTTAGATGGATAATGACATTGTGATTATAGCAAATGAGCAATGCAAAGGCCCCATATTAACCTATTAGCTATATGCACTGGACTATTTACAAGTTAACTGACATTTTGCTTAGGTTTTTAAACAATGTTCCAAGTTCCTCCTTCCCGATGCAAAGGTAGGAAGAAGAGATAAAGCTGACACAGGCTGCTGATTGTGGCGGGGGGGTGTGTGATTAGGCCATTCTGAGCCCCTTTGTAAAGTTTGGAAATTTTCAATAATCCATAAAAATGGATTTTCTTGTGTGTGCATGAGTGTTGCCTTTCTGTAAGTGTAGCCATGCATGCAATGCCCATTGAGACCAGAAGAAGGTGCCAGACCCCCTGGAATTGGAATCATGGGCTATTGGTAGCCTCTATATGGGTGTTGGGAACTGAACCTAGGACCTCTGTAAGACAGCCAGTGCTCTCCAGCCCAATAAAAAGGTTTTTTTTGTTGTTTTGTTTTGTTTTCAAATATTTTCTTTATAGCCAGGTGTGGCGGCACACGCCTGTAGTCCCAGCACTTGGGATTGGGAGGCAGAGGCAGGTGGATCTCTGTGAGTTCAAGGCCAGCCTGGTCTACATGGTGAGTTCCAGGACAGCTGGGGCTACAGGGAGACCCTGCTTCAAAAAGAGAAAAAAAATTTTTCTTTATTATTTTTATTTTGTGTATATGAGTATATTGCTTGCATGTATGTAAGTGCACCTGTGTGTTGTAAAATGCTTGCGGAAGTCAGAATGCCTGGAGTTACAGACAATTGTTAGTCACTATGTGGGTGCTGGGAATTGAACCCAGGTCCTCTGCAAGAACAGCCAGTGCACTTAACAACTGAGCCATCTCTCCAGCCCCCATTGTTAGTTTTTCTTTTTCTTTCTTTCTCTTTCTTTCTTTTAAAGATAGGCTCTGCCCTCATGTGGCACTCCCAGGGGAGCACTGGTGATGACTTTGAACATATTGTGAGAAGCAGTGTTAGGGATTCACAATGCATGTTGGGCTGTGGCATCCAGGCCAGCTGGTTGGCTTCTAGAGCTGGCCATCTTGAGAACAGATCTCTGGGAGACTCCAGCTCTGTGGCTTTTGGTTGTCCAGCTGTATCTAACATACACGATAAGCCAGAGCTTTGCTCATCTTTCTCCTTTGACAATGATGATGGGGAGGTTGAGGCCCCCATGATCAGGGCAGCTCTGGAAGTGGTCCTTTGCCTCCTGCCTCTCTGTCAGGCTGGGGGTCTTTTCCTCACACCATGCTCTCAGCTCTGACAATGCTGATATATAAAGTTCTGGAAAAGTTACTGTGCACGTCAGCAGGCCCAGGGTGATCTCATCCCTGTCTCTCGCATGCAAGAGCCAGCAAGTGCTTTACCATATCCAACTGCCCTCACCTAGGATGGAGATTGCTCCTCTTACAGGGGAGGACAGAGGTGACCAGGATGAGATATTGGTACAATGCTATGCTCTGTGACCGAGAGTTCCTCTCTGCCTCCAAGTGTCTAGACTGAGCAGTCAATGAGCAGGTCAGTGACTGAGCTGAGGGTCTCTAACCACAGAAACAGGAAGCAGCGTTGTAACCAGCTGACCACTGGAAGAGGTCCTTGGGCAAGAGCCTTTCAGGCTCAGAAGGCCCTACTATCTCCTTATAGTCCCTTGACTCACAAGTCAGGCCTGGAGCACTGCAGCTGATGGGCCACATGGCTGGACTTTGAGTCACAGCTTTCAGAGTGTGTATACATAAGATTTACCAAGTAGCTGACACACTGAAGGAGGTCACCAGCAGATTTCCCTCCAGAAATATCTTCACCCCTGAAAAACAATTTCACTCCCTACTTCACACAGACGTAACTCTGAACTGCCTGCTTAATCTGAAACAAAGTGACAGTCCCTAAGCAGTAACAGTTGCATGTGTGAACACCTAGGCTTCTGAACATCTTGTGATCTGACCCCATAACTGTCCCTTGTATACCAGAAGCAGGTCTGGAGAAACAAAAGGGTTGCTCAAGGTCATTGGTAGTAGCCCACAGCCCCAGACTCCCATCTGGGAGGTTACTGAAGTCTCCACACATGTCACTCACACTCCCTGCCTCTACAGTACCTACAGAGCCCCCATGGTCTATGTTTATCCTCTGTGACATCACTACCTGTTAGAAAGATCTTGATTCAATTACAAAGGCAGTGAAGGGTCTCTCCATTTTTACATCTTGACTTTTTCTCCCTAAACCGCAGTCTCCTTGGGTACCCTAAGTTAAAGATCTTCAACTGCCCAAATTTATGAACGAAGATGAGAACTGACCCTGAGAAGGTCAGGGTGGTCTTTCTCTACCCTGTAAGATCTGCCATCTGCATCTACACTCCCAGGACACTTACCAGAGTGACCTGCCTCTCAGGAATCACTGTGGGTTTGGGGAGTGGAGGCCCACTAGGGAGCATATGGCCAGAGCCCTCCCCTCCAGCCTCCTCTGTTGAGGCTGCCAAGCCTTCTCCATCAGCAGGTGCCTGCAAAGGAGATCAACCGTCCATGAGGTTTCAGGAGTGGCCATGTCACTCCTGTGGTAGCAGCCCAATGTCAAAACACTTTCTTCACTACCAGTGTCCACACACCCAGCTCAGCCACAGAAGCAGGACACACCCATCCCTGGAGGAACCCACATCTTTTCTAAAGTGTTTTCTGAGCCCAATATATTTGGGACACTAGCTCTAATAAAGTTCAAAATCAAAGCCAGGAGGTAGCAGGCTGGGACAAAACCCCAACACCTGATGCCTTCTGTCACTTCCTTCCTCCTCCCCTGTCCAGTTGGCATCTCCCCAGAGCTTCCAACAGAGATGAAGATGTATATGCCTCTGCAGGGGACAGTAACTACTCCTGGCTCAGGATGCTGACCTTTCTGTCCCCTGGGAGTCAGAGAGGAGGCTAGCTGGGACTTACAGAAGTAATAACCACTTGCTCAGGGGAAGCTGAGGGTGTGAGAGCTGCCTGGCTGTCTGTAGGAGCCTCGCTGGCTTGCCCAAGGGCCACTGTGGGTGTGAAGGCATCCAGGCTGTTGATGGCAGTCCCGCTGGCTTCCTCTTCCTCAAAAGCACCGAGAGGCACTTGGGACACAGCTGCAGCTGGGGTTAACCACTCTTCAACATTTGGACCCTGGAAAAGAATTGACTTGAGATCGTGACACATGATCCCCTCCTGTTTTGGTGGTATGTGTGTGCTGCAGGAAGGAAACTACTGGGGCCATTGGGTCTTGGCAGCTCCTTTGCTGCCTTCCCTTTGCTTACTGCCTTCCCACAGGCCTCTGCGGCTCAGGGTCAGGGTGCACCTTTCCAGACATCCCCAGTTGGCCTCTGGAATCCCTCTAGCTACACATCTCTGTTCAGTGCTTATCTGGGCTTAGTTTGCATACCTCCAGTCCTGGAGAGCTTACCACCTCTTTCGGTGGCCCATTTTCACACAGTTCTGCAGTCAAGTCCTAGTTTCTGTTAAGCTAAGACTTGGGAGAACTGGAGCCAGGTCCCTTATATTCTCTTCCCATGATACTTTGTCTTTACAAAAGAAAAGAGTGGAGAGGGGAAAGAGAAGACCATTTTGTTCCCTGAAATCATTCATGTAATGGTCAGGTGACCTGGAGAGGTCTGTCACTGGCATGTAGTTTCTCTGTGTGGATACAAGACTGGCACTGGAAGGCAGCCTGCCCAGCATGTCTCAGGCAGGAGGGCAAGTGTGGAGAGGAGCTCAAAGGTGGCATTGTTGGCTGCATCAATGCATTTGCTCAGTGAATTTGTTCAGCACCTTCCACTCATCAAGAACAAAGCAGATTTGTGCTAAGCCCTGTACCCACCTAGCTCATGTTCTGTTCGGGAGCCAGACATGCTCTAGGGACAGAGCTTATTAGCAATGATGAATATGACGAGGCCTTCCAAGGACAAGAGCCAAGAGCCTTTGAAGTAAGTCCAGGTTGGTGCCTTCCTGAGGAAGTGGTGTTGAGCTGACTTGGAAGGACAAGCAAGAAGAGAAAGGAGGGGGCGGGAGAGGCAGTCTGTAGAGAGGAGTATGGGAGATTGTGAGGTGAGAAGAGACTGGAAGAAGTTTGAGGTGGCAGACTGCAGTGCCAGGCTGGGGACAGAGAGGCCCCGGACGCTGTCAGGAAGGTTGGTGACCAGGCCCTGGCTGGCTTCTCAGGGAAGCCGGGTCTCTAGGTCAAGGTCAAGGAAGCGTCCCAGCAAAGGGTGAACACCCAGAAAGGCTTTGTAAAAGAGGCTACAGAGAAGCTTAAGCAATTGCCTAGCTGGGCACAAGGCAGCTCCATCCAGGACTTGGATATCCAGAAGGATAGAGCAGGTGGGTTCAGGACAGGTGAGCAATCAACAGGACCTGATTCTCCATTGTGGTATCAAGAAAGAAGAGGAAAGAGAATTCTACAGGACATAGCTGGGAATTGGGACTGTCCCATGCACATGAGGTAGGAGCACAGGAGTGGCCATGAGGAGGTAGGTTTGAATCTGATGGGTGAAGAACTGCTATGGGGACACCACAATGACAGATAGGTTCAGGGTTCAGCTGGGGTACATGTGTCCAGACCTCCAGAGTTGGGCAGCATCTCTGTTTGTCATGAGCTCCACCCTGCTGGACCTGGCCTGCCCCCTGACCCCCTTCTTCTGACAGCCCACTTTAACCCCATAGCCCCTTCCCCTCACAGGTAGGCCACCCCTGTCACCTGGCTCCTGGCCTCTGTTGGTAAAGGCAAAAGGCTCTGTACAAAGTCCTTGGACTACTCCCTACTCCTCTGACCATGCAGGTCCCCTGGGCCCTTCTGGCCCATAGAGTCTGAGCCAAATACTTGACAGGTACTACCTCTGAGCTAGCATTGGTCAGAGAGTTGCCCCACCCCAGGCAATCTCATCCTGGTTTGCTGAGTGAGGTCCACACTCTGAGAGGACCACTCCCAGGCTCCCAGTTCTTCAGACTCCTTACCAGTGTGGCCTCTTCCCTTGGCTTCTGGGTGAACAGAGATAGGGTTGGCCCCCCAGTGGGCATGCTGCTGGCCTCTGCTTCCCTGGCAGTGCTGATGGGCACCTCAGTCTCCCCTGATCCTGCTGTTGCTAGACCTTCTTCATCCTCTGGATCCTGAGTGGAAAGACATCCTGAAGGTTCAGGCTAGTGGACCACAACCCTGATCCATGAGTCTGTGGCTGGAGGGGGAAGACAGTCAAGGCCCCGCTTGTACCTGTGTTCTGTCCCTCCCTCAACTTCAAAGCACTTGCATATTAAGACCTGCCTTACTCTCAGCTCTCAGTGGTCTACACTGCTAACCACCTGATCGCTTCCTGCCTCCAGCTGCCCCTTACCTCAGTGCCTCTCACATCTAAAATTGCTCTCTGCAACATCACTCAGAATCAGGTTTACAAACTCAGCAGATGCTTTTCAGTCCCTCACTCACTAGAACTTTTGATAGGCTCTGACATGTTTGTCCCACCCTGGAGCCAGTGGATGTCACTGCTCACCTGACCCAGGTACAGCGTTGAGCCTTCCACCTTATCCAGGCTGATTTCCCCTTCCTTTCTCCACTAGAAGCTAGGGCAATCTTTCTAGAATTCCAATCTGATAGTATCTCCTCCATCTCTCCTATGCTTCAGTGGCTGCCACTCCACCGACTGCTGTCAGGCTACTCAGCAGAAGCTCCCTGTGGTCTGGGCTCCTCCAGCCCATCTTCTCATCTTCCTGCTCACAGCTGACCCTGGGGTTCACAAATGACCCAGGGGACACACTGCTGGCCCAGGGGTACACAGTTGATCAGGGGGCACACTGCTGACCCAGGGGACTCACAGCTGACTCCAGGGGCTCACAACTGACTCCGGGGCACACTGCTGACCCAGGGGGCACACAGATGACTCCAGCAGACTCACTGATGACCTCAGAGACACACAGCTGACCCTGAAGGGATGACTGATAATCCCAAGAGCTCACCACTCACACTGAACGAGTCCCAATCATAAGAAAGTATTTTAGACTCTGGGTGACTGAAATGTACCCTGGGGTCTCATAGTTGAACCTGAGGGCTCAGAGATGACCCCATGGGCACACAGTATTTCTTCAGTTCCTCTGTATCCTCCAGGCCTTTGGTCCTCTGGCTCCCTCCTGGAACACGTGTCCATTCCATCTGGTTGGCTACTCTTCTCAAACTTCAAGGCTCACCTTCCACCTCCCTGACCTACAAGCTGAGCTATGGGCCCTTTTCTGTGCTCCCAGAGCACTTTGGAATTCTTTTGTACCTTGACCACTGTGTCTCGGGAATCTGGCCTACCTTAATTATCAAAGCCCTGGAAAACAGACCCAGTGCCCAGCATGGTGCAGTGTTCCTCAAACCTCCCAATGGGTGAACGCTCCCTGTGTCCAGTTGCTCGGTGCTCACCTGAACTCTTCCCACAGTGCTGTCACTCTGCACTTTGCAGAGAGATGAGGAAGGCCAGCGCCTGCTTCTACCCTGGACAACCCACACTCCTAGGAGTGGGAAGTGAAGGGCATGTTTGAGCTACTTACTGGAGTGGTCACTTGCCCAGGGTTCTGGGTGGACACAGACAGGGTGGGTCTCCCAGTGAGCACACTGCCAATCTCTGCTTCCTGGCCAGTGGTGACAGGCACTTCAGCCTCACCTGTTACTGGTGCTGATAATCCCTGGGAACAGAGACATCATGTGAGAAGACCCCACCACTGGACCCTTAGCCCTGATCAAACATGCCGGTGACTGGAGAGAACCTCGCAGCTAGGTCTTTCTACACACACTCTGTCTTTCTACACACACTCCCGTAGTTTCCTGACTTCAGGAACCTCCATATTTGCGACTTCACCCCAATCTCAGGCCATTCCCAGGTTTGCAGAATCCAGGGACGGGGGACATCTCCCAGGCACTGATGTCTTGTGTTTGATGCCAGCATCTGTTTGCCACCCAGTAACTGCAGGTTACTGCCTCTTCAGTCAGCATGCTCCGAACATTCTGTCTAGACACATGGTTCTGCGACCACCCCCATGCACTCATTCAGACCCTCAGTGGTGCTTCAAGCCTGTGTAGGTGGTGCTGTCCTCCTCAGTCTTCTCCAGCCCTGACTTACCTTCCTGTCTTTCTTTGTGACTCAGTTACCTCTGGGTAATGCATAGATTTCCAGAAGATCCCACAACAAATGGGGCAAATGGAAACAGAGCAGCTGTGGCTACTAGTATCACAAAAGGGACCATTTTTAGGTCCTTTTTCTAAGATGGGGGGATTGTGTATTGGTGTTAGTATCTGTGTGTGGGCATGCTCACCTACATATGCACCTGTGGGGGCTAGAGGTTGATACTGGGTGCCTTTTCCTTGTCTACCTTATTTTTTTGAGACAGAACCTCCCACTGACCCTGAAGCCCACCGTCTCATCTAAACTGACTGGTCTGCGAGCTCCTGGAATCGTCCTGTCTCCACACCTCCTCCCCAACTCTGGGGTTAAAGACGTCCGCCCGGCACCTGACTTTTACATGGTTGTAGACTCAGGACCTCATGCTTGCACAGCAAACATTTCACCCCCGGAGTCATCTCCCCAGCCCTTAAAGTTTTCGTTTTTAATTTTAATTCAATTATTTGCAAAAAAATCCTGTAGATGCTGTGCATACTAGGCTCAAAATAGACAGGTTTTTGAGCCTAGTATGCATAGCATCTACAGTGGTGGGGTCTTCTCACATGATGTCTTGATCAAAAATAGACAGGTTTCCTTACTGCGGGACTTCTCAGAGCCTATGAATGGGAATGACAGGGCTAATGTCCCAGGGTACAAGTGCAATTCCACAGGCAGATGGTGGGCACATTCCCATGTACCCAGGCCTGCTAAGAGATAGTACGTGGTGGCAGTTCTACCTAGGATAGGTGGTAGCCTATCCTCTACCTCTGGGCTCCAAGAATTGGTTCAGGATTGACTTTGGGCTGAAGGCCCAGAGAAGAGAAAATTATTAGGAGAGAATTTTCAGGGAGTTCTGGCTTGGCTCTTCCCAACCGAGCTCTGGCTTGGCCCTTTGGTAAGCTGGGTATGTGTTCACTCGGGTTTGGTTTGGGAGACATAAGGACTGACTCGAGGTTCTCTCCAATGAAAGATAAAAGGTAGAAGTAGGGCATCCAGTTTCAGAGGAAGGGAGAAGCTGAGGGAACCCATCTGTAGCTGTCTTACTGTGGATAAGCAGGGTGAGACCTCTTCATGGGGAACTGGCTAAAGTCATTTTGGAATGGACCACAGAGCTCAGGGTACCACCCGGGACAAGGAAGCCCCACCAGGAGTTAAAAGGCCAGCAGTGGAACTTTGGTCTTCAGTCTCCCACAGGAGGACCTCCAGGCAACCCCAAAGCCCTGAGAAAAAGTCCCAGGACTCAGGTATCACCCATAGTCAAGTCCAGGTCACAATATGATCCACCATGGACAGCTGTGCCCTGTTTTCCAGGTGGGCCAGCCCATGCAGATGTTAAAAACAGCTAAGGTAGAAGGGAAGTCACAGGGAGTTGGGACAAGAAAGAGGTAAGCAAACAGAAGAAAACCCTAATCCAGTTTCCTTCCCTACAGATTCCTGGTTTGCCACAAGCCAGCATATGTAGAGAAAGACTATATTTATGTTTTATTAAATTTTTGATACTGTTCTATACCAGAGGTCTAAAATAACTGTTCCCAGACAGTGACTAGAAGAGTTCCAAGAATCAGAGCTGTCTGAGATTTTAATCCGGACAGGGAAGGAATGAATCAATACGGTGGGTTAGGGCAGGTCACTGTGAGAACACTACCCCTGCTTTAGTTTGTGCCCTTACTGAATCAAGCATTTCCAAAGCTGGCTTTGCAGGTGTGGAAGACAATTGCTAAGCAACAGTGTGGACACACCTGCAGCTGCTGTGATTCTGTCCTAAGGAGCTGTGGCAAAAGGTAGTCATGACCATGAGGACCCTGCACTTGTCCCCAGGCAGGAGTGAGGACAAGCTGGGGCTGCATCTCCTCCACCTGTCCTGGTGTACCCCTGGAGCCCGCCACCATCCTAGGAGGGCAGTGTCAGTCTCTTTTATTTTTCTTTTATGTGTATGCATGCAATGCTGGCAGAGGCCAGAAGAGGGTGTCAGATCCCCCAGAATTAAAGTTAGGGATGGCTGTTAGCTGTCGTGTGGGTGATGGAAACCTAATATGGGTTCTCTGCAAGAGCAGCCAGTGCTCCCAACTGCTGAGCTATCTCCCCAGCCCTGACAGCATCAGCCTTTTATTTTTCTTTTATGTGTATGAGTGTTTTGCCTGCATGTAAGTGTACCATGTGCATGCAATGCTGGCAGAGGCCAGAAGAGGGTGTCAGATCCCCCAGAATTAAAGTTAGGGATGGCTGTTAGCTGTCGTGTGGGTGATGGAAACCTAATATGGGTTCTCTGCAAGAGCAGCCAGTGCTCCCAACTGCTGAGCTATCTCCCCAGCCCTGACAGCATCAGCCTTGATGACCTTCAACTAAAACCCTCTCAGTGCCCCAGTCACTATCAAATGTGAAATAAGCAAACACATCCACTACTAGTCTAGCAAATAAAATTTACCACTCACCCGACCTTCAGTGATACCCAGCAAGGCCCCAGCCCCTGAGCCATCCTCAGAACTTGGGACTTCCAGTGTGTCATTCAGGATCTCACCAGACCCTACAGGAAGCAGAAATTGTGACATCAGAAACTACATTTTGCAGACTTGGAAGAGAATGAGACAACACTTAACCTACTAACTTGGGAAGGTGTCCAAGATTCTGTAATTCAGGATGAAGAGGAAAGAGCCATCTTAGAGAACAGGGCAAGACCTTAGGACCTGGGGGTTTCCATCATGGGCTCTATAATCGTCTGCTGCCTGGAATCCAGCTTTAACACTTCCCAGAATGTGACCTGGGGCAAGTTGCTTAACCTGTGCCTCAAATCCCTCATCTGTAAACAGGGATCATAATTCCTACCTCATAGGGCTGTTCTGAGGACTGTGCATCATGAGTGCTAGTCGGTGCATGGAAAGCATTGTGGATAGCCCCTGGTACATAGTAAGCAATTAATAAATACTCATTGGCACGGAAGTTCTATATTTGAGGAACAGGAAAAAAAACTGCTTATGAGGTACATGTTTTATCATCTTTACTTGTGATTATTCTATAAAATACTCATGTTACATAACAATTATTATCTAACATACATAATACATGTATAGGTGTCTATATATTTATCTATCTGCCTGGCTAAGACATGGTGACTAATGTTAATTTCTTCCAGATAATAAGACCTGAAAGAGGAAACTATGGTTTGCTGTTGTTATACATACACCTTTATATGAATTGAATTGTTACCACATGCTCTTTTTTGGTGGGAGATTTAAAAAGACAAATGGAATCCTAAAAGAAGAAATGATACTAAATTGGATGCACGCTTCTATGACTAGGCCACATGTACTATGCACACTGTCCTTTAATCTTGCTAACCAAGCTGTCTCACTTGAGGAACCATTACATCATCTGACAAATCAGAATTCCATGTTCTCAGCTCCCTTGATAGCACCCTATGGCAGGTGTCCTGTTCTGATCAGCACTTTAAACATATTATTTTATCATCATCATCATCAACAGTTCTGGGGACTGAGCCCAACATCTCCTGCATGCTAGGTAAGTACCACTGAGCTGTATCGCCAGCTTTTTGCATTTTTATTTTGAGAAAGGATCTCACTAAATCACCCAGAGTGGCCCTGAACTTGTTCTATAGCCTAGGTGGAAGACCTATGATCGTCCTGCTTCCTGATCTTCCTAACTGGCTGGGATTAAATCCTGTGCCATCAGGTGTGATTCCTAGGTATACCCTTTCTGCAGAAGAGTAAAGTCGCAGATTAACCGCTGGAAGGGGCTGTGAAGCCACGCATGCCTGCGTCTGGGCCAGACCTTTTTCACACACGTGGCACACATGCCCCAATGTCAAGACACTGTCTTGTCAAAATGTTGTTTCAGGACCTGCTGGACTCTCCAGTAGACCCTGTGCTGCCAAGCATTTGAACCACATGACTCCAGGAGTGGTCCATCCAGTCCTATCTCATGCCCAAGTCCTCTCTGCTCTGACCACCAGGGGGCTCTGTACAAACAGCCACTGGGCCTCTAGCCCTCTCAGGCCTCACTCTAGAATGATAGCGCTGAGCAGATGCTGTCAGTGAAGCATGGAATACATTGTACAAATACTGCAGCACGTTCCTCACCCAGAATAGCACTTGGGGGGCACACTGCTTTCTCTCCACCATCTGGGCTGTCTATGCAATAAGAAAAGGAACATGTCTGACAGTTCTGAGGTTTCTCTTTGGCCTTTTATCACTTAGGTGACAAAGTACAGGTAAGAGGTTCAAGTGGGAGACTCAGTCTCCTCAGACAGGAAAAGCCACCCCACTGTCCTGCCTCATCCCTTGATCCTCATTCAGAGATCCAAGTGCACCCAGGACTACATTATCTGCAACTCATAAACCATTGCCAAGAACAGAGAAACCACAGGGCATCTGATCTCCTCATTTACCCGGAGGCAAGGATGGTTGCAACTCCCAGAAGTCAAGAAGATTTGGAAGTCTCAGCAAGGCCCCAGGCCAACAGCAAATAGGTGGCCAGACAGGACTTCCTTCAAAGCTGTCTTAGGCTCCTCCTGCCCCCCTCCCCAGGCTTCCCACGGCCATATCTTCAAGACTCCATGGCTTCATTGTCACTTTATTAAATTATTATGCTCTTTATGTCTAGTACTGTTTATGTGTCTTACCCACAGACTTACCAAGTTCAGTCATTAAGATAACATTCATTAGTAGTAGCAAAAATAAAAGTATTATTTTAAAAGACTTTTGAAATGTAGCAGTCCAATAAAGAAAATCCATACCACGTGCAATACTATGACACACAGACAACTGCTGGTACCATATTCTTACATGTTATGACGAGTGGGTAATGTATCTCCACATTGATCTACATAACTAAATACAAATAGAAATGATTACGTGTATTCAAAGTGATGACTGCAGCATAGAGTTTTGCTCTTTGGGCAAATACACCATAATCATGTCCTACATAATTAATTCTTACTTAACATACATACTATACACAGATGTGTCTATATGTTTGGTGAGTACCCCAGAAGCATGTCCCTTCGTCGTTAGATCATCAGGATCACCAGGGTCAGGGCCACACGAACGAAGGACATGGATTTGCTCCATCATCCCTGCTGTGGGTGCTTTGTTGTCTTCTCTACTAGGAGCAGCACTGCTAGGACCTCTGGCCTTGGCTTCACTAGAGTCTAGAGTGACCAGCCTCTGGGAAAGTACAACCTCTGGCCTTGAGTACATGTCGCTGCTGCTTGGAGGATCTTGACTGCTCTCTGGGCCTTTGAGGTGCTCCTATGGACTGGGGAGCAGGAGCAGAGGACCAGATGGAGACCAGAACCCTGTCTCCTCCCTGGGTTGCCTTGTAGGGAGAGAAGAGGCAGCATCTGGAGATTAGAAGCTCAGGCATTGGAGATTAAGTGCCAGATCTACCATTTACAGATCCCATGGTCTTGGCTGGATTATTTAATTTCTCTGTGACTCAATTTCCCCATCCTGTCTATAAAGTGAGGTCAACTATTCACCTTGAAGGGTGAAGGAAAGGTAAATCAGTTCTGAATATTGCATGTATGTGATCACTCAATGAAAAACCACCATATATGTCAGGACTTGCCTTGCTCAGGGCTGCTGTGCCCAATGATGCTTGAGTTGGTTTCTGGGGTCCCTTCTGGCACAGGTTCACCAGAAAGCTCTGTGTCTTTAGCAGGAGAAGATAAAGTAGGAGGCATGCTTATGGGTTCAACGTGGGCTTCTTTAGGCTGAAGGGAGGAAAAATGAGACCCAGGAGGATTTACTTAATAGTGAAACAGAAAAAAAAAGATGGAAAATAATTTATCCAAAGAATCTCGAATAATCCTGGAACGCCTAGACCTGCTGGCTGTGTCCCTGGGTAACATGGCTCCTGCCAGGCCTGAAAGTTGTGTGTGCTAGAGGAAACTCAGTCTCATTCGCTTTCCAGAGAGACACTGTTCATCTCAAACTAAAGTCTCTGAGCACTGGTACCACACTTCTGCAATCCCCAAATCCCAGGACAGCACAGAGATGTCCATAAAGATTTGTTGGATGCAGAAATGTCTGAATAGACAGATCAGTGAACCAGGCTGCCCTGGTAACACCCTGCAAACCCAACCCCAGAGAAGCACTAGCAGAGAAGGCTCTGACAGTGGTAGATGTGTGTTGTTTTCTTCCAAGGAAGCTTCAGCACTTTTATAGCATCCCCAAAGCCAGGTACAGTCTTAACTGACCTTACCAACTAGGGAAAAACAAAACCCAACAGATGGAAACAGAGCAATTTGAAAATTCAGGCAGGAAACTCCATGCTGATCCTAAGTGTAGCAACATAACCCTCAGATGCTGGGGGCCGTTCATGAGACCTAGAGCTGTCAGGATTCAATCTTATCACTTTCTAAGCTCCAGGCTGCTGGGGAGGTTGGAGGGTTGAGTTGAAGGACCTAGGAAATTCGATGCTGATCCTAAGTGTCACATCACCCGCAGGTGCTGGGAAGATTCCTTAAGACCCAGGGCTGTCAGCATTCAATCTCATTACTTTCTAAGCTCCAGGTTGCTGGGGAGGATGGAGGGTTGAACAGAAGGACCTGGAGTTAAACTTGTTATATGGAAAAGAAACAAATCTTTGCTGTGTTAAGATGCTAAGATTTCCGTGTTCACTTGTTTACTGAAATGCTACTTATATGTACTAAGAAAGATAGGTTCTTTCCTTAATAGAATCCCTGGTGTAAACAGCGGTCCATCACTGGTCTGCCAGAACAGAGAGGATTCTCAGGAGCCCCATGACTTCAGATTTCATGGTTCAATCCTTACAGTCAGATTTGAGTCAAATGTTTGTTTTCTGCTTAGCAACTTAGTTGTTTGGGGCAAAGTATATGACACCATTGAGCCTTAGCTTCTTCGTCTGTACAACGGGGACAATAAGAAATATTCTAGATATTCCTTATTACTGGAAAGTCACAGGTGGAAATGAAGAAAACCAGAAAATGACAACCCTGAATGCCAAGGGTCACAGACATCACTGCTGATTTTGGTAGTGTATCATCTCCAGGACAAAGATATGTGGGAAGGCTGTAAGGAGCCAGACCTTGAAAAGGGAGCAAAGTTCCAGAAAACAGCATGAAGGGAGGATTAGTGGCATCAGGTCCCAACCACCTGAGGTGGACCAGAGTCATGGCTGAAGGAAAGCTGCAGGCCAGAGCCTGTGGAGGCAGCACAAGAGAGGGTGAATCCATAGAGAGACAGGTGTGGATCCAGGGACCACGGAACAGTGCTGAGGGTGCTAGGCTGGGAGAGTGTGGACTAGGGATACTGAGGCCCAGGCCAGGATGCCAGGATGGGGACCCTAAAGAAGCTCAGGAGACAGGAAGTAGGTGGGGTGCTGAAAGAGTGCCCTCCCATGAAAAGCAGCAAAGACCATCAAGAACTAGCTCACCTCTCCCAGCTACATGTTGAGCTAGCAGAGCAAGCAAACAGTCTTACACTGGGATGTGTACCCTCTCTTGAGGGGTCCAGGAGGAGCCATTCCCCATGGCTCCATGATGGTATTAAGCCAAGCTCTAACCATGTGGGTGTTAGTGGCTAGAAGTAACAGTGATTTGTAAGACACATGGGCCTAGGGACAGATGCCTGGAGCAGGTGAGACTGAGGCAAACAGTAGGACAAGGATCTGTCATTCAAGGTGGCCCCAGGTTGGGTCTCAGTGAAGTCCCTGACTCCAGTCCTTCCAAAATCTAACAGTGAATCTCAGCCAGGCAGTCACAGACACCTGGGCCCTGCTCCAGAGCAAGATGAGATTCCAGGGAGCTGACTCTCCATGGATAAAGAAAATGAGATATCTTGTCTCAAGCATATGGCTGTTGATTTCGGAGGTAGTATGGATGAGGGACCAAGTATGACCTGTGACGGTGTCAGAATAAAGTCGAAAGACTTTAGTAACTTTTCAAGTTACTATGAGACTGGTTCTGAGCCTGCTCTCATAGTCACACAAGCAGATGTACTCATTCCACACATAGGTCCTGTAGCCCTAATGGGTACCAAGTTCTTGGCTAATCCCTTGGGCTGGAGAAAGGAATGAAGAACACAGTGTTTGCCCTTCCACTGTCAGAGCACAGAGGAGGCACAGACCATACTCAAGCAACTGATTTCATGGGACACATAGGGTGACTGAAGCAAGAGCCAAATTGGGGAGGAAGGGGTGGCAGGAGCAGCCTCTAAGAAGAGGATGTGGCCTGGATCCTGAAGGGTAAGTGGAAATTTGCCAGAAGGAAGGAAAGGCAGGAGCGGGTGTGGAAGGGGAGCTCCAGGCAGACAGAACTGCATGTGGCTGACAGGAGAAAACCCCAGACGGTGTGTCTGAGGAATTGGGAGCCCTTGGGTGTGCCTGGAAGAGGGCCCTGGCTGTGGCTGGGAACCACCTGCAGAGTTCTTTGTCAATCAGATTCTTGGACTTCACTCTAGACACACTGAATGCCCAGAGCAGCAGCCCAGGAGACTACTAAAGACTCCCCCTCTGTTGTTCCCTCTTCCTGCCACACACCTGAGCAGATGACTTGCATGTACAACTAGGGATGAGAAATAGGAATGAACCTAACTCTCCACAAGAAAAGTTTTCCAGAAATCGAAGGTATGTCCATAGCCACCGTCCATAGCAAGACAGGAACAGGGCGGCAAAGGCTCTGGCCCCAAACAGGCAAGGGGAGGAAGGGCTGGCAGATGGTCCCTGTCTGAGTTCACTAGTTAGGGCCCAAGTCCTGCAAGGTGCCAGGCTGGGAAGGCTGAGCATAGGGAAGTGAGATTCAGTCCAAGAAAGAAACCAGACAGAGAAAGGAGGGGACAATCTGAGACAAAGGGAAATTCCTGTTCTGGAGTAGTGACTTCCAAAAAGAGTCACAAAACACTTCAGGATAGGTGACCAAGGTTTGCAGCCTGAGACCTGGCTCTCTCACCTTCAGGCTGGATGACCTTGACAAGCTTTGGTTGCTCTGTGCCCTCCTACAGAATAGATTACAGAAGTCTCTCAGCAAATGACACTAAAAGGCAGCTCAGTGACCTGGTAGAGTGAGCTGTGCATAGGTGGAGGGATGCTGAAGAACAGAAGGACCTGGGGATGAGATCAATCATGTGAGTGTTGGGAACCATCAGGAAGCAGATGTATAGGGGCCCCCAAGAGGAACAAAGTGCCTACAGTGTGCCACACTGAGTTTAGCCCTGAGATAATGCTTCCTTGACTTTCCAGAATCCTTACCTGGCTATAGGCACTGAATACCACAAGCCTTCACCCACTGATGCTGAGTGCCAAGGACTGAGTATTTGTTGCAGTCAGTTTGCCCAACAGGTGTGCTCCATGGACACAGGGGAAGCTGAGTCTTGGAGAGATTAGGTCTCTTGTTGGAGACCAGTAGCCAGTGGATTTCATCCAGGACCCACCCTGGATGAAAAGTGAATATACACCACTTCTCCCAAATGGACAAGAACTTGAGAAAGGAAAGAATGGACCACCGCAGAGGGCCCCCAAGTACATCACTCCTCCAGCCACCTTCCTCCTGTAGTTCTCTGGACTGATGTCACACCCTGGGCTGATGCTGCCCCTTATGTCTTGGAAAGAGGACCAGGTAGCTTGTTTCCTGACTCTGCTACCATCTGACCCTGAAAAGCTTTTGGTGCTCTTGGGTACCCATTTCTACATCTGTGCAATGGATGATGTCATCTCGCTTGAAGGGAGTGACATGACATTACATCCACAGACACCCCAGCCTCTTCCCCCTTTCTGCCTGTCCCAAACTGGCTAGCTCTGTCACCCCCTCCTGAACGCCTGTCCTACTTCCACCCTTGTGAGCCTCTCACACTTTCAAACCCTGATGTCCTTTCCTGCCTCTCCCTGGGGTTGTTGCCACCTCTTGCTGAGTTAGCCTCCTTCTGAGTTGTGGACTGTTACAACAGAAAAAAGCATTTATGCTCAGAGCCCCAAGGGACCACATTTCTGTGGCCTGCTACCCTGTACCTGGGACAGGCCAGTGCATAACTAGGACTGATGGGCACACAAACTCCGACTCTTCCCCCAAGCAGCCACTATCCCATCTTAAATATGCAGGCTCCTGGACCCTTGACTTCTCCATCCCAGCCAAGATTGGATGTGATCCCACGCAGGCCATGAACTCATGGGTGGACATCAGAAGACCTGTGCTCTAGTCCAGCTTGCTCAGGTGCCCTGTTTGGATCTTAGTCTGCCCATCTGTAATATGGGCAGTTTGATGTACATTTCTTTTAAAAAACTATTTTATTTATTATTTTTATCTTATATGTATGAGCGCATTGCCTGTATGTACATAAGTGCATCCGTGTTGTACAATGCCCATGGAAGTCAGAAGAGGGTCTCAGATGCACCTGGGACTGGAGTAAAGGACGGTTGTTAGTCACCATGTAGGTCCTGGGAATGGAACCTGAGTCCTCTGTAAGAGCAACCAGTGCTCTTAACTGCTGAGACATCTCTCCAGCCCCTTGATGTACATTTCTGTTTAAGTCTTTCTACTGCTAGCAGACTAGGGTTCTACTCTGCCATACCCATACCCCTATTGCCTGAGGTCTATAATCTGTAGTCTCTGCTGTATTTCTATCTCCCTGCTTTCTTCTATCAGAAGCGCCTTCACAGTGCCTGAGCCCGGCCTGGGAGCTTTCTCTGCTGGAAACTCAAGTGTTCTTTGCTATTCTCAAAAACAAACCAACAAACCAACAAACCAACAAACCAACAAACCAGCCAACCATAGGCTCCTTGCAATCCCCAAACTCTGACTCAGGACTTTGGAACTGCTTCCTCCTCAGCCACAAGGTCCATTCCCAGGAGGGAGAGATGTAGACACCAGGCAGAGGACTGCCTTTCCCATGGGGCCAAGGTAACAGTGGGCATCATTCAGGGTCATTCCCTCAAGCCAGGCTCTTTCTTAGACTCACCCCTGCCTGCCTCCCCTAACTCTCCAACACCCTGAGATCGAACTGTTATTACCACTCTGTAGCAGAGAGCTGACCTGACCTTCAGAGGGGCTAAGTTCTCCAAGGCCACAGAGTACATCTCCCTTTGCACAGCTTCACGGCCATATGCACAGGGAGCCCTGAGTAGCTGGTATGCTTGGCTGGGCATGGGGGTGGAGTTGCAAAGAACTCTCCTGACCTTCCCAAAGGAAGTGGTACTTAACCTGACAGATCTGAAAACAGCCTGAACAGCTGACCCACCCACAGAGTCAGCACTCCATGCTCACCGGGGCTTGAGTGTAGGTGACGGCTTCCAGGGTCTCAGCAACTTCATCCATCTCCTGAAACCCACTGGCTTCTCCAGATGCCTGTGGGGAGACAAACCATGCTGCACAGAGTGGAAGAGCAGGTTACATACGACTGTGGCACCCAGAAAGGTCAGAGACTAACAAACAGACTCCTTCTGAGGAAGTGTGTGTGCATGTGTTCACATGTACGTACATTTATATGTGCATGTATGTGGGTACATACAATGTATGTGCGTATATATGTATTTGCATACATGCATGTGTGTTGTGCATAAATTGTGTATTATGTGAATGTATGCATGTATATTTATATCGTGCACATGCATATGTGTGGTATACATGCATGTGTGCATGTATGTGAAATGTGTGTACAGTGTGTGTGGTGTGTGCATGTGTACATTCATAGACATGTATGTACAAAGTGTGCATGTATGTATGTGGATGTGTGTATGTACATATGGGGGTGTCCATGTATGTGTGTATGTGTTTGCATGTGTATATATGCATGTAAGGTATATGCATGTGGGTGCATGTATGTGACTGCATGTGCACGTGTGTTCATCATAGACAGAGTAGGGGTGAGGACACAGCATGTGTGCAGTGTGCACAGTTGGCTATTTTCTTTCACACTGCATTTCTACAGTCTGTCTAACATGATCTTCCACTGTGCCCAGGTTCCCTTTGCTCCCAGTCTGTGCAAGGCTGTCATGGAATCACTTCCAGATGCACTCACCAAGTGTGGCCTCCTGGTGTTGCCTAACTTCATAGCTAACCTGCTCAGCCAGCTCAGGAGCCTGTGCACCGACCATGCAATGGAGCCCATGCTCTGGGACTCCTAGGCTGTTTCTACGTCTTCAACATGAACAAAGTACAGGCATGAATGTATGACCATATCCGGTATTCCCTCTCCAGGCTCGGGGTACAGACATTCAGACAGGGCCAAATCCCACCTTCGATGTACAGATGTTTTAAAACACAAATTTTATGAAATCAATTTCTAATTTGTTTGGGAGTTGAAATCTCTCAAGGAGCGACAGGAGTCCTGAGGAGGAACACCCTTGATTGTGCCTGGCTTTGGCAAGGTGCTGCTGTTGCTGGAAGGCTGCTTTCCCAGCTTGCTTCCAGCTCCTCCTCTTGCCTGACCTGCTGAGTCTGGGCTGAGGCTCTATTGCTGTATTCTGGTCTATGTATGTGTGCCAGCAGCAGAGGAGGGGAGAGCTCCCAAAGTATCCCTTTATTTTCAGTCTCTACCCAGGGCTGTCACCTACCAGCAAATCCTGGAGGGAGGGAAGGAGGGAGGAAAGCAGAGAAAGGAGGGAGGGAGCTATCTTTCCTTTCTGGCCCCCACTCCACCCCAACTTAGGAATTGATTCATTTGCCAAGCATATAACGAACCTAAATTTAGGTTCATTTTTATAGGACTTTACACCCAGAATATCTTAGCATTTTAACTCTGATTTTAGAATCCTGACACCCTTCTTGGCAGGAAGGCAGAAAACCAGGCCATTGACTGCCACAGCCACAGGAACACCTTATAAGATGCACAACCCCCACACCAAGGAGATAGCTGAAGCACTTTAAAAAGTGAAATAAAGCCAAAAGCCCAAAATAGGACTTGGGACAGTGCTGGCCTCCGCGAGAGGCTTTTAGACGGCATGATGCTGAGGGGGAGAATGGCTGGGTGCCCGGTCCTCCTGTAACTGGGGCAGGGGGGTGCAGGGTGCTGGGGGATGGGGTCAGAACTCACTGAGGACTCTTGGGCTTCACACAGCTCCTCGGGGGTCCTGGAGTCAGTGTAGACAGTGAGCTGTTGTATGGAGCCCTGAGGAACAGAGGAATCAAAAGGCACAAGTTACATGTGTACTTCACACTGTCCTTAGAAGATGAATATTCCTGAATGCAGGAGAGAGAGGACCAGCTTGAGAATGTGCTACCCAAGGCTTTGACAGCAATACCAAGTGTCTTCTTGGCTCTCTGTACCAGGGGCTCCTCTTGCTTGCTCCCATGTGAGCCTCTTAGCCACAAAGGTCCCTAGACAGTCTGTGTTCTGAGCATGGACAGCCACAGCAGCCTCCTAATCTCCAGGTCCCCTGAGAGTGAGCAGCAGACCCAGAAATCTGTCTTCTCTACCCTACTAAAGCTCAAAAGTTCCTTGCAAGATGTCCTTGCCCCAAGGAGAGCTGCCAACAGCCTCCTGCCCCAGTCACACCAAGGTTCCCAAATCTGGTGCTTAATCTCCAAGAGACACCAGAGCAAGTACATGCAACTGCAGACAGGATTGTAACTCCTCAGCACTCCCCAAAGTCTCCTGTTGTGCTACAAATACATTCGCTTTAACTCTCTAGTGGTACCTTTTGGGGAGGGGTTGGGGGAGTTTGTTGTTGTTGTTCGTTTATTTTATTTTTGTTTTTTTTGTTTTTGTTTTTTTGGGTTTTTTGGTCTTTTTGAGACAGGGTCTCCCTGTAGCCCCAGCTGTCCTGGAACTCACTATGTAGACCAGGCTGGCCTTGAACTCACAGAGATCCGCCTGCTTCTGCCTCCCGAGTGCTGGTATTAAAGGCATGTGCCACCATGCCCAGCATGGGTTTGGTTTTTTGAAACAGAATTTTATTTTGTAGGCCAGGATAGCCTGGAACTCACTATGTAGCTCAGGCTGGCCTGAAAATCAAGGTAATGCCAGTGTTGGGATCATAAGCATGAGCCAGGATACCTGTCTTCCTTAGTGTGTCTTGTTCACTCAGGCGGTTCCCTGGATCAACACACATGTGCTACACGATCACTTAATGATGATTGTTTGTTTGTTTGAGACAGTCTCCCTATAGTCCTCTCTAGCCTAGAACTTGCTGTGTAGCTCAGCCTGGCCTGAATCTCACAGAGATCTGCCTGCCCCTGTGTTACCATGCCCAGTCACTTACTGATTTTTTTTACAGAATGGTATTCACAGAAGCCTCTCTGGTGGTAAAGTCAGTTTTCTGATTTGTTTGTTTGCTTGTTTTAGAACACATTGTCCAGAAGAGGAGAGAAAAGTTGTTTCTTATTCCAGTATTCTGGAATCATCTATCTTCATGGTAATTAACCACTGAGCCATCTCTCTAGTCCATTTGTTTTTTAACCAGTGCTTCTATTTCTCAGGCAGGCCTGGAGCTTTCTGTATCCCAGCCTGGCCCCAAACTCATGATCCTCCTGCTTCGGCCTCTTGAGTGCTAGAATTACAGATCTGCACCATCAAGCTCAGTCTTAGGTTAGAGATTTTTATGCCGACATTAAGACAAGAAAACCCAGTGTATCAGACACAGTACTGTCTAAAGCCTGCAGGCTAAGTTTAGGGCAAAGTCCTAGGGTCTGGGTACATGACCTAGAGTACTGTCTACCTAGCATGCATGCCTTTGAGGGCATAAGAATAACACAACAGGCGCTGGAGAGACAGCTCAGCAGTTAAGAGCACTGGCTGCTCTTCCAAAGGATCAGGGTTTGGTTCCCAGCACCCACATGGCAGCTAACAACAGTCCGTAACTCTAGTTCCAGGGGATCTGACACCTTCTTCTGGTCTCCGTGGACACTGCATGACACTGGTACACTTACACACATGCACATAAAACACTCATACACATAAAATAAAAAGAATATAATATAATAATGACTCAGCAGTCAAGAGCATTGACTGCTTTTGCGGAGGACCCAGGTTCAACCCCAGCATTCACATAGCGGCTAACAACTGTCCAGTTCCAAGGGAATTCGAAGCCCTCTTCTGACCTCCACAGGCATTGCATGACAGGAGTGCACTTGCAAAGTACAGGCAATACACTCAGACACATAAAATAAAATTAAAAATAAAATATTTTTTAATTAATAAAATAACAATGATCATTGTTCCTGTTCGGGATGTGGGGATCTGTGTCCACAGCTTCTCTGACCTGTAGGGCGAGGGCTGGAACTCACCATAAATCTCTCTAGCCCAGTAGCTCCTGCATTGCCTACAAAGATGCCTGCACTGGGCTCAAAAGTCAGAGGCTGGGAGGACCGCTGGAAAAGGACACGACTGTGCTCCTCGCAGTCCATGAGGAGGGTCACCTCCTCACCCTGGATGGTCACGGCAAAGTGATTCCACCTGTTAGTCATCATGGGCACTGAGAAGGCAGCAGCTTCATGGGACACGTGAGAGCTGGGCTCGGTATAGTAGAGAATGATCCGCTGGTGGCCATCCTCCACACTGGAGAGCCGCAGGCCCAGGTAGATGACCTTCTGGAAAGCATCAGTAATAGCGAAGAGCACACCGCCTTGGGCACTGCTGGGCTTCACCGCCACACTGATGGCAAAGTCCCTGAAGAAGGTGGGTGGGATGAGTGTCCTGGCTGGGCGGCCAACATTGGCACCAGGCCCAAAGCTATAGGCTGGAAAGCCACCATAGCCAGTGACAAAGGACACAGATGAGGGCAGAGGAACACCGATGAGCTCTGTGAGGTCCAGATGGTTCTGGGAGGCCGGCCCTGCAGGAAAGAAGAGAGATCATGGTTCAACCATGCTGGAAATGAGGACAAAGGGGTCACAAGCACATGTGAATCCTTCAAAACTGTAGTTTCTAAATTATGACTCCCCAAACAACCCCCAATATGAAATGCACTTATTTACATTACAGCCCAATATACAGTTCACACAAAAAAATCCGTGAATCTAACCCAGAAAGAGCATTTTAGAAAGCACTAATTGACTCTTAGTACTCACCAGGCCCCTGGATATTTTCACTCTCCCCTTTAACTATTGTTTTTCTCTTTTTAAAAGTAAATCCATGGTGGAAAAGCCTATTAACTGATTTGATTACCCACTAGTGGGTCATGACCTATGGTTTTGAATATATTTACAACTAATTTCTGGAACATTCCTAGAATATACAGTGTTCTCCCCATTAACCTGGAGAGCATTACAAAGCTGGATGGTTTGTGTTGCTTTGTTTTCAGTGAAGTCTTCTGTTTAAGTGCCTCAGGGTACAGAGGGAAAGTGGGGGCAAAGGGAAGTGTTGCCAGAGCTTAGAGTAATTGAACTTTGCATCATGGTGGGCACCCTCCACCACCACCACCACCACCATCATCATCATCATCATTGTCGTCGTCATCATCATCATCATCATCATCCCAGCTCACTCTCTGTATTAGGCACAGCTCTAAGTTCTTTTCATACTTAATTAAGCTCATGTAATACTCACATGAACTCCATGAGGTTAGGGACTATTATTCCCATTTACTTCTGAGAAAAATCAAAGCTTCCAGAAGCTAACAAATTTGCAGGCAAGATTCACAAGCAGGGTTCAAACCCGGAGCCCATGACCCGAACCTGTGTTTTTCACCAGCACCCTTGGGGAGAGTTGCTAGAGCTCATTGCAATGACCTGAAAAGGACCCCAGGTCTGGGAGCCATAGGTCCTCTGACCATCCCTGGGAGAAGCCTGCAGGCTGGTCACAGTGGTGTGCAAGCATTCCTGAGCCCAGGTGGCAATTGTGAGTGACACTGGAAGGCAGGTAGATAAGGGAGGGTGGACATGCCCAGTGCTTCTAGGGCAGTAGACAAGCAACACCCTTCAGCCTCAGAAGCAAAACTGGAACCCAAAAATTAGGTCAGGGTAGGAGACCTGGAATGGAGAACATCAGAATGAGGCAGACTTTCCTGGTAGCTACCTGGGCTGCAGTTAAATGCTAGAGGCCCCTAGCCCAAGGCCAAGATGCTTCCTCTAACACAGGTGGAAGCTAGGTCAGGAGATCAAAATGAGTGACTGAATAAAACCATCTCTCCTACTTAGCTTCAGGTCTCAACTTCATACAGCCCAGAGGTATCTGAGGGAGTCTCAGCTGGGGGATTGCTTTATCAGATTGATCTGAGGACATGTCTGCAGGGGCATTATTTTGATAGCTAATTGATGTAGGCAAGCCCAGCCTACTGTGGGTGGTGCCATCCCGAAGCAGGGGGTCCTGGGCTATACAAGAAAAGGAGCTGAGCAGAAGCCACAGAGAAGACAGTAAGCAGCGTTCCCCTGCGGTTTCTGCTTCAAACTCCTACCTTGAGTTCCTGCCCTGACTTCCCTCAAGGAAGGATCATGACCTGGAAATGTAAGATGAAATAAACACCTTCTTCCTCAAGTTGCTTTTGATCATGGTGTTTATCACAGCAACAGAAAAGCAAACTAGAAAATCATCTATGTAGCCCCCAGTCAAAAATGAAGATGCATTAACATTTTCCGCTTTCTACTTTTTGTTAAATTTACACAACAGTCAAAGAGTCCATGGGCAGGGACCTGCCCCACTATGCTGGGATGGGGTCTTCTCTGACCTTGAGTTCATGCTGTTTGTCTTAGTCCTCATAGCAGCCCTGGGAACCAACTGCTACTCTCCCTTTTACTGATGAAGAATGGATGGTTGGGACATGAATACCCAGCCAGTGAGGGGGAGGAGATGTGCAAGCCACAGCTGGCCTAACTTCCAGTTGACTCAACATCTATGGCCTCACTGAGAAGAAGGGTCTCTATAGGGAGTCTGTGTGTGGCTCAGATGCAGAGAGAGGTGCCCTGACCATAGTGTTCCATCCCCACCCACAACACTGAGAGAAGGTGGGTAACAACTTCCATGTTACCATTCCTGTGCATCTGTCCATGCATTTACTATACAACCTGTATCCGTGATAGAATGCAGAACTGCTGTGTGTGCTTTTAAACCTCATATAGATGCTGGTGGGCTGCATCTACAGGTGTTCTTTTTTAACTCAGCATTGTAATTTTGGGGTTAATCCTTGACACTGTGACTCTGTTCTTACCACAGTGCTCTTTGGTGTGAATAAGCCACAATGGGTCGATTCACTTTTCTGGTGATGGAGAGCAAGGTTTCTATCACAGGTCCACACAATATTGCCACAGGCTTCCTGATATGCAACTTCTGTGCTCATGTGTGCATGTAATTCCACCATGCAGATGGGACCTGTGGGTGGCCTGCAACTTCACTGACTGATGCTAAAGTGCTCTTTGAAGACACTGTGGCACTGGCTACGCCTACAAGCAGGCTAAGGCTGCCATGTTGAAGGGAGGCAGAGATACGCCTTGAGAGCAGTCTAGGGGACTTTCCCATTACAGTAATATGATGATTTTTAAAATTATTTGTATTTTATATGAATGTATGTATGTTTGTACAGCACATGTTACAGTGAACATGGGTGCCAGAAGAGGGCACTAGATCCTCTGGGACTGGAGTTACAAACAGGAGCCACCATGTGGGTGCTGAGAATGAAACTCGAGTCCTCTGTAAGAGCAGCAAGTGTTCTTAACAGCTGAGCCATCTCTCCAGCACCAGTGAGGGGCTTAATTTTTAACCCAGATAATATTTTGAGGAAGTATTAATTGTAGTGTTCTTTAAAACACATTTTATTGGAAGTATTTCACAACAAATTTTATGGAAGTGATCACCGCCCCCCCCCTTCAACAAAACAGCAGATCTGATCACATTGGCACCTGCTGAGACATCTTCCATGGCCATTCATGGTCCTCAGGGCTGACAGCTGCCACCAACTGGCTTGAAGGGCCCTTTGTGCTCTGGACCCAGCCATGCTGCCTTGCTCCCAACATGACCCAGTGGCATTGAAGGCTACCATAGTGCCCCCTGGAGTGCCTCCCCCTCACAGATCCTCCCACCTCTACCCCAAATGTTTTCCTTCTGTCACCCATAAAGAGAAAGCTTTAGTGCCACCTAAATGAAAAGAATGAAATCTATCTCTGGGTAGAGACTTAACATTCCATTTGGATAGGCCACTCATCTGGCCAAGGGACCACTCCCAGGAAGGTGGATTCATAACACTATGCTAAAGAGATGGGAAGAAGTATTATCCCTTTAATGAGATAGTGTACTTTTCCTATCTAGAAAGCTCACCCCTGGATCAGTCACGATGGAGCCATCATGAGGTTGTTAGGGCTGCCTGCCTGTCGTTCTGAGCACTGACTCCAAAAGGTATAACCTTTCCTCTTTTTTTTTTTGGATGCTGGCCAAAGCCCGCGTATGCTTTTTCTGGTACTTTGGGCTGATTTTTGACTCATTTTCTCTGAAGCTGTCCCCCCCACCCCTTTCTGCCATACGGTTGTTTACAAAAGCCATAGCTTTCTGTCTTCCTTTTCTTGACCTCCCTCCTCTAGGCAGCTACCAAGATTTACAGCTTGCCTAGCTTGTGGTTTTTCTTATAAACTCTAAGAAAATTGTCTTTGAACTTTCTTCTGAGTCTATTCTTCAATTATTTTATGACTATGAACCTTGAGAAACAACTCTAATTGCCCAGTAACATGTGGCAGCCCAGATGGAAGGCCCCAAATTTCTGGTAATACCAGCACAATCCCTGGAGTGCCCCCCACTGTCACAGATCCTCCCACCTCTACCCGAAACACTTTCCTTCTGTCACCCACCCCATCTGACCCAGTTATTTCCCACAGTAACTCCTCCTCCTTAAGAGTCAACCCAAGTTTCCTTCAGGGGAAAGCTATTTCCTCTGCCACACCCATATGCTCTCCCTGCTGGGGTTTCACAGAAATATTCCTGCATGCACACTGGGGCTCTCTGTAATAGCCCCCTCCATACCATCATATCACTGTTGGGCCACTTGTTTCTACTTATATATGATAAAGAAAAGGACTTTACCATTCATTATTTCCAGGGTCTGGCCCAGTGAAGAAGAATGAATGAATGAATGAATAGATGGGTGGATGGATAGATGATGGTTGGATGGATGGATGATGGAAGGATGGATAGGATGGATGGGTATGTGGGTAGATGGATGGATAGGTGGATGGATGAATGAATGGATGGATGGATGGATGTGTGGGTAGATGGATAGATGGATGAATGAATGGGTGGATGGATGGGTGGGTGAGTGGATGGACAAATGGATGGATGACAAAAGGATGATAGATGGATGATAGACAGATGATGGATGAATGTATAGGTGGGTGGGTGGATGAACTAATGGATGGATGATGGATAGATGAATGGATGACAGATGAATGGATGGGTAGGTAGATGGACTAATGGATGGATGATGGATGGATAGATAGATGGGTGGATGGACGGATGGGTAGGTGGATGGACTAATGGATAGATGATGGATGGGTGGATGGGTGTGTGGGTAGATGAATAGATGGGTGGGTGGATGAATGGATAAATGGATGAAAAATCCATTCATCTCTTTTCTCCTTTTATAAAACACTAAACCAAGGTTAATAGAAGGAAAGCGTCTGGTGACCATAAACTCAGATTTCTCAATTGAATGCTTCTCCTTTCCAGTTTGCAACTTGCTTTTAGAAAGACATTCATTGAAAGTAATTTGGATTTAAGATTCAAACTCTAGAAGGTATAGGTTAAAAGATCAATAAATTTGGTTAAGTTTGACTACACAGAAATAAAGATCTGTAGAACAAACAAACATAATAACATTAATCCCACAATGTCACATAAAAACCAAAATGTGACAGA